ATAATAATAATAATAATAAATAATTTTTAGAAATTACTTACCGCATATCTCTCTGACTGCTTCAAGCTTTTTCACTGCTCTCTGAGTGTCCGATACTTTTCCAGATGTCCTTCTTTTTTCTTCTTCATGCTTTGCTGTTTCCTCATAGCACTCATATTCACTCGCGAACAAACAATTTATTATATTTATTCATATACTATAGAAACGATCGCGAGACTTTTGCACGGCACTCCCGATCGCGGAATAATTACGAGAAATGCACATTAATATATCGTATAAGGGATAAAGAAGTACGATTCGCTCTACAATAGTCGTAGCGAATTATATTTCAATACTAATCGCGATCGCGTTTAAGAAAAGAATTCAATAATATGAAGCGTTTTGTATCACTACTTTGCCGTTGGAATGTCGTGTGAATAATACAAGGTCGTCTATGTATTTATAATTTTTGTCTCTTTTGTTTCAATTTTTATTTGAAATAATGAAGGATCGCGTTTCGATGGATGTATCATCGCCATATAGTTTTATGTTATTTATTAAGAGTTAATTAATTGTTACTTGTAATAATCGTAGTGAATTATATTTCGATATTAATCGCGATCACACTGTTAGAAAAAGAATTCAACAATACGATGTGTTCCGTATCACTACTTTACTACTGGAATGTCGCCGTGCGAATGGTACAAGGTCTTCGCATATGAAAACAATACAGCGCTACGTCAAAGTCGAACGTCGTGTTATTGACCTCGCTGCCGAAATATTTTACGCGTACTATGACGTACATATACGAAAATTGAATTTATACATAAGTATATTTTTAAAGTCTTACACACACATGTACACACAGATTAATTATTTATTAAACGATTAATATACATCATGCCTTTCCATTACGATAATTATTCGATTTTGCCATTCGATCGTTTTACTGCGCGTTCTCAGACGAATTATATATATTTAAATCATCACATAATTATATGATAAAGCATTGGACGAAATATTCTTAATTATAAATATTAAAAAAAGAATAATTATTGTTCCTAAGGATTGCGACAAAATGATAATTTATAATTTTGATTCCGGTCACACACATCGATTCTTAATTGCATTCGATTCTTTTATACGTTTAACGTTTTGACGTTACTTATCACCCTTTCTTGAGAGATAAATTTGCGCTGCGGGTGTTTGGTCAATTTCACACATTTTCAAATTTTAACTTGGAGGGGGGTTCATTTGCGGATCCATGTTCATAAGAAAAAAAAGTCTTATTTTGACATCTAGAATACGCTCTTAAAGTTTAGTGCATTTCAGATACATCTTGTATATGTTATATTAATTATATTAATATTTTTGAATAAAAAATGAAAGAAAAAGAAACAGTAATTAAGAAAATAGAAAAAAGGCAACTACAATGATTTGAATATCTGAAACCCTCTCTCCTCCTCCTCCTCCTCCTCCTCCTCTCTCTCTCTCTCTCTCTCTCTCTCCTCTCTCTTTGAGTGATTTGAATATCTATACCCGAGAGAACAAATGTCCATAGAAAATATTTCGATGGACTTCATAGGAAGGAATAAGCATGATAAATAATGATAATCTTTATGATTTTAACACAAAGGAATACAATAAACCATAATAATCCAAGAACTCGAAGAAGAGAATATATTGGATAGAAATGCATAGTGATTGATGATTAGAAACTAAAAGATAGTATGCATACAATCTATTTATTAATAGTAATACTATTTTGTAATTGTATTAAATTTTATAATTTAGCACATTGTATTATATAAAGTATTAAGTATAAAAATATTATGCTGATATAAAAATTATAATAAAAATATATAAATAATGTTGACTATATTAAAATGGAACATATGAATTCTTTATATTTTGTATAAAGGAAGAGACATTTAAAATATTTTACAATATCTACATTTTTCGAATCTTAATTATAAAAATTAATATCAAAGAGAATTAAAAAATTGATAAATCAAAGATCAGTTTACTGCTAATTAAGATTGATAGAAATAAAGTTAAAAATGTTTTTATTCCACAGCAGGCATTTTGTGAATAAAAATATATAAATATGGCAATGAATAGAGAAAAATATTTATTTCTTCTTTGAATATTACATTGGAAGAAGATTACAGTATCTTTCGCGATTGAATAATTTATTTACTATCAATTTATATACATGAGTGTCTTGTTATACTCTGATGTTACCGACATTTCGTGCACATAGCACAGAACGAAACCAGAAATTGTGCACATGATACCCTCTGAGAACATTTATGTATATTGGCTTTGTAGTTCATGTCCACGTTTTTAATGTCCATAGAGGGAATATCGCTTTCAGGGATCACCTAAAAGCAGGCCATGACATCTCTCAGTTTTCTCTCTGCCTGAAGTCTTTTTTCTGAAACTAGACATCTCTGGTGACAGATTTTAATACACTCGTATGGGAAGTGGGAAGACAACTGCACTGAAATTGATCTCACGTTTCAAGATGGATTTTGTTTATTCTGCATATGATGTAGAAAAGTGTATTCAATGGATCCAGACAAATGCATTAAAGCAGGTTTGAAGCACATAGATATTTTTTTAAATAATAAAAACACAGTTAAAGATTTTCCTTAGAAGATTTAGTTTTATATATATATAAAAATCGTCTTTTCCTGAATATAAAAATTGAGGTTATACGTAATGTCATTTGCTAAATAATTTTCCTTTTTTTTTAATAAATATCTAGTTGCTTAATTTATTACAAACATAACACTTATTTTTAGTAGACAATTATATTTGATACGACAATTAATCTTAAAGACAATATATATATTTTGAGATTGCTTATAAGATGACAGATAAGTGACAGATGAAATTAAGTTAGTTCAACTGTTCATTTATACGAGCAGTTATAATTATTAAAAATAGTAAAAGAGTAAACATAAATTACTCTATTATTAAATTATAAATTACTCTATTATTAAATAAATTGTTTATACGAAATTATAATTTGTTTTGACAGGTATGTCTACAATTCCCAGACAGTTTATTACCAGATTCTGTAGAAGTTGCGCTGCATTTAGAAAAAAGTATAGAGCAGAAAGTATACATCTTGGGAGATACAACTTGTGGTAGTTGTTGCGTTGATGAAATAGCAGCTCAACACATTAATGCAGATGGTATAATACATTTTGGACATGCCTGCCTTAATCCTACCATTCGCTTGCCAGTTTTATACATTTTGCCAAAAAAGGAATTTGATACCACGAAACTTAGCAATGAATTTAAACGAGTCTTTTCAGATTGCTCAAAGAAAATTTTATTCTTCTATGATGTGACATACGCACATAAAATTGGTAAATGTTCAAAATATTATAAAAGAAAAAAAGAAAATAACTCTCAAAGTTAATAGAAATATAATATATATTGTATATTGATTTTAGATAATATAATATTAATTTTGCCATTGTATATTAATTTTACAGAGCATGTATATGATATATTAAAACCAATATACAAGCATTTAATCTTGTCTAAATTAAATTGTACATCAAACGTGAAATATACTGATACAAACAGTGCCTCAATTGTCTTAGGCAGAAATTATACACTAGAAAATGGATATAATATAGAGGATTATGAAGGATTTTTTTTGGGAGAAGAAGGAAAAACATTCTCGGTATTAGCAATGAGTATACCTGTCAAAAGATGGTATTCTTTTGCAAATAGTGAAATTCATGAATTTGAAGCATTGAACACACCTTGGTTAAAACGAAGAAGATTTTTGATAGAAAAGTTGAAGGATGCTAAAGTTGTAGGAATTTTGGTGGCTACATTAGGCATTAAAGAATATTTGACAGCTATAAGCACAGTGAAGAGGATTCTCAAACAAAAAAATAAGAAATCTTATATTCTTAGTGTAGGAAAAATTAATCCTGCTAAACTTGCAAATTTCCCAGAGGTATGTATGTATCAAACTGTATAATGCAATAAAAAAAAGATGTTTAATTAGTTTTTTTATATACAATTATATTAATTTAGTTTAAATTTTTATTACAGATTGATGTTTTTGTTGTAATTACTTGTCCAGAGAACGAAGTATTTGATTCGAGAGATTTTTTAAAACCTATGCTTACACCATATGAAGTTGAATTGGCATTTAATAGTGCAAGGGAATTTTGCCTACAATATTTTATGGACTTTCGGCAGATATTACCTGGCGGTTCTCACTATGTCAATTTTAAGCCATCAATTGACTCAGATATTTCCCTTATTAATAGCAGTGTCAGAAACTGTGAGGATGATATTTCATGTACAGATCAAATGAATGCTTTGACAATTCGTTCATCAGGTAGCTATATGTATCCGGTTTATTGAAAAAAATATATTCAAAAGCTGAAAGTACTCTAAGAAAAAATACGATTCTCTAAAATCATCTTGTTTTTTTTACAATTGATTCTTTTTATGCAAATTTAATAGTTTGGACAAAAAATCAATTGTATTTTAATAGTTTAAAAGCTTTAAATAATTTTATAGCTACGTTACAATGATTAGCATAACAATTCTTTTTATCAGGTACTATTGCAATTGGTAAAGCAGGAGCTCAATATCTACAAGAGAGATCCTGGAAGGGTGTTGAACAAAGATTAGGTGAAGATTCTGTGCAACCAGCAGAAATCGGTCGCACGGGACTAGCATGGGAGTATACGAATGAATCTTTAAAAATAGATGAACAGAATATAAATAAAATAGAATAAATATAATATTTCTAAAAATGCGCTAAAAAGAAGTATTTTTATTCAGAGTTTAAAATGATCAATTCTGGGGAATTTTCTTTCGTTCATGTTAGTGCACATGAATCGATGCACTTTTGGGTGCGTTTAGTTCGCCCAATCAAGATGAAGAAACGAAAATTTCTTTATCTTGATTGGTCGAACAAGCATTTTTCGATGTCAAATAAGTGCACTTTCTTGAGAACTGTCAGACATCCTAATCCACTAGTGTTCCATAGTCAAATGTCAAACTCACGACGTCACGCGACCAACTCTAGAATATTCATAAGACGACGAGGAAAAATTGCAAGTTCGACTTCTGCTACCTGCGAAATAATGTTTCGTCGTTGAAAGATGTTGCGAACGTTTCAAACACATTTCTTATTGTTGCACAAGTGGAGCTTTATCGTCGGGATCTTATTACTGTATGATGTATCACGACATGTGTCGCACGGGATCGAGACGATTAACCTCAAAAATGAGAATATTACCGATAACAAGGTCACGTTTGCGGTGACGGACAGTCCAAGTACTTTACATACCACGACAAATGTCAGTATTTCAGCAGAATTGTCTAGCACAGCGCGATTCGCTAACAGTACAAACATTATCGATAGTCACAACGCTAGTTCAACCTCCACTGTAAAACCTGTTACATCTCTAAATACACCTGTACAGACTGATAATATTGTCAACGACCGGACGACAGAGAAAATCGATACGGTATCGCCGAGTTTTATCAACGTTAAGAATGCAACGATCATCTCTATATCATCGCAGAGTCCAGATGTTGTCAACTCAACAAACACCAGCACAACCACCGTTGCTCCAGCGGAACCAGTCCTTCCCGACAAAGGTTCCGCTGAGGAAGAGCATAACAGCTCCATGTCCATATTCTTTGTATTGTGTGTCTTAGCACTAGGCATATTATTAATACATCTGATGCTGCAAACCAATTTCCAGTACCTTCCTGAATCAGTAGTGATTGTCTTCTTGGGAGCTGCGATTGGCATGATTATAAATCTTATGTCGCATCAGAATATAGCCAACTGGAGAAAAGAGGAGGCTTTCTCGCCGACCGCATTTTTCCTGGTTCTGCTTCCGCCCATTATATTCGAATCGGGATATAATTTGCATAAGGGAAATTTCTTCCAAAACATCGGCAGTATTTTGGTATTTGCTATTTTTGGAACAGCTATCTCTGCATTTGTCATCGGCGCCGGGATATATCTGCTAGGTTTGGCGCAAGTAGCGTACAAGCTCAGTTTCGTCGAGAGTTTTGCATTTGGATCATTAATATCAGCAGTAGATCCTGTTGCCACAGTTGCAATTTTTCATGCTCTTGATGTCGATCCAGTCTTGAATATGTTAGTTTTTGGAGAATCAATTTTGAATGATGCTATTTCCATTGTATTGACAACTTCTGTCTTGGAATCCAACAATGCGACAACAACCAGTGAGGCTATAATACTTGGCTTGAATCGATTTTGCCTCATGTTCTTTGCGTCAGCCGGAATTGGCGTTGTTTTTGCTTTAATAAGTGCATTACTGTTAAAGCATGTAGATCTGAGGAAGAATCCATCTTTAGAGTTTGGCATAATGTTAGTGTTCACATATGCCCCATATGTTTTAGCAGAAGGCATACAATTGTCAGGTAAACATTTATTTTAAATATGTAATAAATTTCTTTATTATATAATTATTATTGCTCATTTGTTGTATAATATATTATTATTACAGGAATTATGGCAATTTTATTTAATGGAATAGTCATGTCACACTATACACATTTCAATTTATCAACTGTTACACAGATTACAATGCAGCAAACAATGCGAACTCTAGCCTTTATAGCTGAGACTTGTGTTTTTGCATACTTGGGATTAGCGTTATTTAGTTTTAGACATAGGGTAAATATGTCATACATATATGCTTATAATGAAATTTTTAAATTTGTTGTTTAAATCTCTTGCTGTTGTTTCTGTTGTTTAATCTCTTTCTTGCTTTTTGACAGTTTGAGCCAGCGTTAGTCGTTTGGTCCTTAATCTTGTGTCTGATTGGAAGAGCTGCCAACATCTTTCCACTGGCCTTACTCGTTAATCGTTTCCGCGAGCATCAAATCACGAAGAAAATGATGTTTATCATGTGGTTTAGCGGCTTGCGCGGTGCTATATCATATGCACTATCACTTCATTTAGATTTCAGTGATGAAACACGTCATGTTATTATAACAACGACGCTCATAATCGTATTGTTTACGACGTTAATATTTGGAGGTTCTACTATGCCTCTGTTAAAATTCTTGAGAGCCGAAAAGAAACAGAAGAGTAATAGCAGAAGAAAGAAGAAGGATAAGGAAGTTTCATTGAGTAAAACTAGAGAATGGGTAATTAAAAAAAATTGTACAAATTTAAGCACATTATTTTTTTATATAAATAAACTAACAATAATATTTTTTTCTTTTTTAGGGACAAACTATAGATTCTGAACACTTGTCGGAACTCACAGAGGAGGAAATGGAAGTATCTTTTCTACAATCGCGAATTCGTGGTTTTGCAAGATGGGATCTGAAATTTTTCATTCCGTTCTTTACAAGGCGATTCACACAACAGGAGTTAAAAGACTGTAAATCACAGATGACAGATTTAACGAATCAATGGTACCAAGCTATCAGAATCAGTCCAATAGAATCGGATGAAGAGGCAACCACGGCATCGACCGCCCAATTAAACCTGAACATTAGTAAAACAGCCAAGGAACAATCACATGGAAAAGAGAAGAATGGGCGTCCTAGACACGGGTCTATATTAAGTATTTAATTTATTTTATGTGTGTGATGTGTGTCTTTAAATGTGCTGAATTACAGGATTTTTGCTTTTAAGTAAATTATTTGTAAATGGTGTAGATATATATGTATTTAGAATATCTTTTTTATTTAATTTGCTATTTGTGCCTAAATCCTACTTTAGATGATCTATAATTGATTTACAATATTAAATATTGGCAAATTTTATAATTTTTTGTATTGTGTTACACAGCCACTATTTGAAGAGATACACAAAATACATATCAGGATACACACACACATTTAAATATGTGACACTCAAAACTATAAGTAGATTTCTTGTCTTAATTCTACCACAAATCGTAGATCATCTAAAATAGATTTAATATTAACTTATTCATGTTTTACTAATCTGCTTCATTGATATGTTTCTATATCATGAAATTTTACAATGTAAAATCTCATATATATGTTTTATGTAATTTGCATCATTATTTCTATAATTTGAGGGAAGAGATTAAATGAATAATTGTGGAAAGAGAAAACAGATAAAAGAATTATAGGATATTGTCATTTGCACAACAATTTCTATGCAATTATATTCTTTGCTATGATATTTGAGTGAAATTCTTCTAAAATGTTACTAACTCTCCTTTATTTTTGTGATTTATTTTTTTTACTTCTTCTCTTTGTATACATTTATAATAATAATAATAATCATTATATTGTTGCTTATTATAGCAAACAACAATTTGCAGTATTGTCCAATATGTTTGCTTTATTCAAAGCAGCTTGGTGATGGTGATATGCAAATTGATATCAAGATTTTAAAATATTAACAGAAAAACTATTAATTTGCAGAATTGAGGAGGATTGGTCTGATTAATGTCCAACTTATTCCCACTAATGTTGCGAATTATATTTACTTGCCTGTATTAAATTTTTCATATAATTTTTTATATAATTTTTCATATAATTATATATTTGTTATGAATATATGAATAGAAGAGAATATATTATTTACACAATCTGATATTTTTATCGGTATTAGAGATACATGCAAATAACAGATTACTCTATTTGTTAATCTTGTTATTTATTTGTTAATCTTGTTATGTGAAATATTCAAAATTATTTTTAATCACAATAAAAAAAATTATAATATGAAGTAAAAACACAACGAAAAAAAATCTGTTACAAGAATATTTAACGATAATCTAATGTATTATATATAGTATTATTTGATTTAATAATTTGTAACAATTGTAATTGTGATTTTAATAACTCATAAGTTATTTAAATAACTTTGATAAAAAAATTAAGAATAGTATTTAGCAAATTGATTTAAATAACTGATAACACTTAATTATAATTAGTCTCACAGAATTGTCGAATTGTATATTTGAGTTATAAAGAAAAATATTTTTATTTGTGTATTATTACTATAATTGGGGAAAATTAATTATTTATGTGGCTATATGTAGCCTTGCCAAATACATTTAGATACGAATGGCGTTAAAAATAATTTAAAATTATGGCAATTGGACGAATATATGTATATATATACCTATACATATATATATATATATATATATATATATATATACATATATATATATATATATATATATATATATATATATTATATATATATATGAATAGAATGAATATAATATAAATTTAAATTTTAAAAAATCTGTTTTTCTAGTATGTATAATTTTCTGTTATCTGCGATGGTATTATTGTAAAATAATAAATATTTGTTGTAAACACTTGCGAGCATGATTTGTTATCATATTCGTAGGTGGATATACGGTAAATATCTTATCTTTCTTTCTCGAGGCCGAACATTAACCCAGTGTACAAGTTTCAGTAGTCTGAAAATCAGCTGACGAAAGATATAAACACAAGTACTGCATAGTGTACATTACTCTACTATAAAATGGAATACAATTTATGACTGTACATTCGGCAGATAATACATTTTAATGACAAACGGAGAAATATTGACAACTATGCGCGACGAATTCTATCAAGTATTCTCACTCTTTTTTTTTCTCGTTCGAAACGTGAACACATTATATTCTATAATCTTTATAATATCTTTATAATATGATTGTAATTTTATTCAGGGACAATAAAGTGATATAATTTTGTGATATACGTAATAGCAAAAAAATCTGTAATTCTCCTGATTGATTCCTGTTACTTTTTCTCTTCCTCGGATAATGGATGATGAGTGAAAAGAGAACAATTTCTTTTGTTGCGAATTTATTTCTCATATTATATATATATCAATCTCTCTCGGGACGTGGGTGTACATGGTTGTCTGTGTTAATTTATTTTTTGCGGCAGGGCACATAACGGAGGCAGCGTCTAAACATCAAATCCACTTATTCGTTCAATTCGTTATCGCTATTTTATTATGTTCTAGAGTTCTTAACGCCTCTTATATGATCGTACATCGAGCGACTGGAGCACGAGACAATAGATTAGCGTTCGATGTCCTCTTAACTTCCTTTTCTGTAGTATTTTAATTCGTATAGATATCTCGGGAAATGAGCTTTAAATATTTTTTACAATTAAAAAGAAGGAAAGAGAAATTTTAATTAAATATCTATAATAAGAGAGATATCAAAAAGAATTTGTTGTACATAATTATAAATAGATTAATTTAAAATAGAGACACGGTCTCTTATCACAAAAGTAAATCGAAAGTAGTAAGACTATCTTTTTATTTAATTTTTCAATTTTCAAAATAGAATAATTGATGCAATTAAATACCGAATAATTAAAAAGTCGTTTTAACATGTTTTAATTTCTCTCATTCTGTCAAATCGAATATAATTAAATCGTATAATTAATTCGCCTATTAATTCTAGGAAATTAAGGACACGTGCACGAATGCTTCCTATTCCTTCGTATCTTGCAGACATATATGCAACTCGTGCGACGCAATCAGGCGAATTAATCGATCAATCAAGCGAACTTTTATCTCTCCGGTCCTCGTCTCGCGATTCGATCGCCCAGCCAGCAGTGACAAAGGGCATATTTTTATCGCGCTAATCTGGGATATTATCTAGGAGAGGACTGTGCACACAACAGAACGCCCTGCTTTCTTTGCTTTCCTTGTCCCGATGCTCCAGTCGTTTTTCTCATAACAGCCAGGTGTTTAGTCCGTTATTAACTTGCATGTCCCGTTTCGGCTCGATGGACTTCTAAAGATGATCGTCACATATCACAGGCGCCTACACGCGCCTCTATCGATAGTATTTTACACCCTTATTAAAGTGTCCGTTGTGGGGGAGGGTCCTCGGACTTACCGGCGAGCACAAAATTGGTTAAGCATGCAGAGTTAAATGGCTCTCTATAAACGCTACAGACCAGTATGACTATGTACCAATCAGTGAGATAATAATAATATTATCGTATGCGACTTACAGCGCGTCTCTTTTTCTCTCAACTCACAATACGTCTTTCCGTGATCAATTATATTCCAATGTATATATATGTATATATATATATATATATATATATATATATATATATATATATAATCGCTGTACAGTTTATGTTGTGAGAGATCTACTCGGAAGGGTCTCTGGCATCCCCCCAGCGATCCGATCATCGTAGAATTCTAATTCACGCGAACGCTCTTCTAAAAATGTGCAAAACCCCGCGCCAGGTTTATCTCGCAATATTTACAGTATCTCGCGCGCGCGCTGCGACTTACATATAATAAAACTTGGTGTTTAATAGCAAAGCTTCTCTTTTTTTCTTTTTTTTCTCTCATTGAATATCGAATTTCCGCTCTTGCCTCTCTCTCATTCTCATTCTCTCTCTCACTGCATCCCCAAAACCATTTTCTTAAGATTAAAAGAGGAGATCGCACAATATCCATTTTTCGACAAAGCGTATGTAACTTTTACGTCGACGTAATTTTTGCTCCTCGATCAAGGCCACATTCCTCGCATACTCGATTCGCACTTTAACGTTGTGTGGTACCGAGACTCGTCCACGAATATTGGAACAGAGACGGATTTCCACAACGGTTCAATAATGATTATTAATTAGGAACGACTCACGCAATGGAGTTTCGCTGTGCGTTTAGCGTCATAATATATTTTATCAATCGTTTTTTAAAACAGCAATCGATATCGCATCGAAGCTTGCGATTGCAAAAGAAAATGTTGAGAAATTTATTTTACAAATTTGCACGTATTTGAGTTACTCGACTCTTACGATCCTCGTGCAGGATCTGTGCATTTCTCAGCCAAATAAGAATATTAATCGCTCTAATTCCAAAGTATTATAATTTATCAATATTGGTGTATTGATACTCTCGAAATTTTCACACTGCGATTAATATATCCGATTAAACGGATCTGTTTCGCTCGAAATAATATTTAGAATCTACCGAGGAACACGGAGTCCTTGGTAAATATCAATTTTTTTATTGGGTCCCTATATATTATGTACCATTTCCCCTTTCATCCGATCATCCCTTCATCATCCAAATTCGTGAATTTTACATTTATATATATATAAATATATAAATATATATATATATATATATATATATATATATATTTCTATATATATTTGTATATATTATGCGCGAGAAATCTGTTTATCGCAAAAAAAAAAGAAACGGAGCGCTTCGAGGGGGCTATTTGTCTTTCATTTCTCTCTATCTAATTCGCACAAATAAAATTATGTACTCGAAAAGTCGGAAGAGGAATTAAAGGGAGGGGATCTTGTACATCAAGAACTATACACAGTTTACTTGTTGTTAATTTCCTCCTAACTATATATATCCTAACGCCAAGCAGCGAGTCACACCTACCTACGTAAGTTATCGTTTTTTAATAGATTCATGTTTTTATGTATATATCTATATTTATATATTTATAGAGCACTAGAAATATTAATATATATATGTATGATACATATGATATATTAATATGCGAAACTGTTATCTATGATCAGTGTGAACGATCTTCAAATGCGATGATGCACGGACAACATAGTATTTATTGAGCTTCCATTGATCCTAACGATGGTCGACGCGATTTCGATTCCTAATTCGTCTAATAAAGTCATTAATTCTAGGCAATGAGTTCTGCGTTAATAATTTTTTTGTAGAATATCGACTCACGAAAGAGTGTATTCCTATTAACGTGCTTTACGATCGATTCTTTTCTCTGTAATCTTTTAATCCGATATATATATATATATATATATATATATATATATATATATAAATTTTGCCAAAAAAGTCAATGTTATAAATATGTGAAATATGTGAAAATTAATCCCAATTTTTATTTTTATTTATGTAAAATTTTCTTTTTGATTCTTGATAACAATTTCGTCCGTCTTTTTGAAAAATAATAGTGAAATAATTAAGCAGAATTGAATCTTTTCATGGATGTCTCGATATAAAATATTAGTTTATATAACTGTTCCATTTATATAGTTCTTAATCTTCTTTGTGTAGCATCCAAAATTTAAGTTCGTCAAAATTATATATGAATTTCAGAGACTACCCTCAACGACTATTCGAACGAATCTTTAAATTTTGACAGATTTCTATAGCTTTTTTGGAGGACTAACGTGAAATTTGATGAATGATATTATGAGCTAATGAATGAAGTGGGATCGAGCAAGAGCTCAATATATTGATTTGATTAAAAGCGTTTCTCTATTATGTAACGAGTAATATTAACGAAAAAATTCACTATTACTCGTGATCGCTGCCTTCCTCTTTGTTCCTTCCTTAAAACAACAAATTTCACTGGCCGTATATTTCGAAATATTATCCGCTTAAAATTTTAACTATATACAAATTCGTCACGATTGCCGTCGTTGAAGACCACATGAGATTGACGAACGAATCATGCAATTGCACGAAAACTGCGGGAGGATAATAATAAATAATGTGTTACAAACTAAAATGCAATCAGATTTACATTGCTGGGATAAAATTGCAATATAAACGCACCGTTCTATATTCGATATTAATTGTAACGCGGGTAGAAGAGGCACTTTCTGATATAAAATCTCTCGCGAAATCTCTCGCTACGAATGTACCGTACATTCGTAGATGTACATTGTAAACTTTAAAGTATTGTGGATGCCTGCTTTTTAATTTTTCCCAAAATCGCAAGAAATAATCTTAATAAATTAAGTAATGTTCGAACGGAGAATCTGAGATAATAGAAATCAGTAAACAAAAATTTCATATGTCAATTTTTAATAAATTAAAATTAAAACGCTGCTTCTTTTCTACAAAATTTCATATATCTGCGTAATAAAATAAAGAGACATTGTGTGCTAATAAAAAATAATAAAAAATAAATAAAAAATGCATGTTAAAAATAGATTATGTATTTTCACGGGAGTATTTTCCTCTTTTACCCGGGAAGAGATATATAACTGCATTTAGAGACAAAATATTTATACATCGTGACGATTTCCACATACGCACGCATTTCCATACACAGTTCGAGATTGTTTTTTTTTTTCCTATGATGAAACGATCTTAGACTGGCAGGCGAAGCGAAACAGAACATTCTGCGGGAAGCATGAATTGAATTCGTCGACATAAGAAAGTATGCATAATGTCAAGAGGATCCGGTGGAACGTACTGCTTCGCTTTCTCGTTTATAAAATAGAAGACAATTATTATCGGCAGAGAGCTTCAATAGTCAGTCAGTGTTCACGAAGTAAGGGGGTTCGCACGAAAATCAACGTTACTTACTTTCATTCGTTCATTATGTGTTCACCAAGACCTTATCCGCGATATAGATACTCTCTTTTCGTAGTTGTACATTATGTATATGGTGTTCACATTGGAGTGACATAAACAAATTTATAACAGAAATGTTTATTAGAAATGTGTACGTTTTTGCAGGGCACAATGGAACAAGACAAAATGCATATTTTTTCATGTTTAAATCATACACATAATATATATGTATGTATGATGTGTATGTGTGTATATATACATATACATACACCTATATATATGTATGTGTGTGTATACATACATACATGTATACATATACGTACATCTGTATACATGTATATACATCTGTATATATTATGTACATATATATACATATACATACATGCATACATACATACATATATATCATTTTATTGCCACACATATGTAATCCAAGCTTACAGTATGTTTTTCACATAATTTTTAATCTGTATAATTTCAGAAGCATATATATATATACACATATATATACACATATGTGTATGTGTGTGTGTGATACATTCTCTCCCTCTCTATCGATGCTTATTATTAATAAAATTTAGTTTTTTTTATTCTCACAATGTCGATAAATAAAAGTAATAAGTTGTTCGATATATTAAATTTTAAATACGAATTCTACAAATTAAACGGTTTGAAAATGTGTCATTGAATATGAATGGATTGCATATTGTCTTATTCCAATTAATACCCAAGTTATTTATAATATCCCAAGAATTTAGCGATCAACTCTTAATTATCTATAATATACAAACCAATTTATACATGCATCCAATTCTTCATTGCATGCATATCTATGTGTATGAATATTTCTAATCGGATCACGTATATTTTGAGGTAGATGTAAAATATTAATTAAACAGCCATTTCTATCTTGTTGTGATTTCTCGACAAGTTTTTTGGCAAGAATTTACAACAACCAATGTATACAATATATAAAAGTATATACAGATAACTGAGTCAAGGTAATGAATCCTAATTTTAAACTAAACACGTTACCGAGTCCGCCAATAGCTCACAGTGCATTACGAGTAGATCCCACAACTCTTGGAATATTCAATAGATAAATTAAATGGCGAGTATAAAGAATGCGACACAAGAATACGAAAAGTAATACATACATATATATACATACATATTTATATATGTATACATACATACACATACATACATACATACATACATACATACATACATATATATACATGCATACATATACATACATACATATACATATATAAAGTACTATGAAATTTTTTTAATTTCAGTTTTCTCCTCATTAATTAAAACACGATTTAACAGGTGTACAATTACACATGATCAGCCGATGATGTTGAGAGTGTTGTATTAGGAAGCACGCGCGCGGCCGTTTATATATGGAAATCAGCGGAATGTTGCAAGATCTTCAACGATTTCCGGATTTTGCGACACTTCGCTCGTTACATTCGAAAGGTTTCCTTGAGGCGACTTTCGCGATATTGTCAAATCACCATTTTGTAAAGGATATATAACAATCTTCTTGAAACATTTTCGGTTTCATTCATTTTCGGTAGCATTCCCTACGCGGAGACACACTCGTATGATTAATATAACAACATATGATACAATTCGTTCCCGTAATTCGTATATCAAATAGTTTTTTCTAATGTGTGTATGTATGTATATGTGTGTATGTGTGTGTATGTGCGCTCTTGAAACGATGCACTTCGTACGCAAATTGGCTCGTGGAATTATAATTTTCAGTACGTGAAATAGCACATCCAACGTTGCAGATATTTTCGGCTTCCTAAACACTCTCGATTTATAATCGCGATAATTGGGCGGTAAAACTGGGGTGAAAATTGGAGGGGAGGGGAAAGAGGAAAGTGGGGGCAGGCGAGAAGGATATTACAGGTAAAATAATAAAAAACGCGATCACTTTTTGATTTGCAGCCATGGATGCTTCAGACACTCGGCTGCAGTAGCTCGCATGCTCGGATTGAATTCGAGCATCGGTGTTAGGAACTCTGCGAACTCACGCGCTTCGCTCGGCGTCCAGTCATATTTCTCCGTCAACACTTCATACAGGCCCCACGGTTTTAACCCGGTAATATGCTTCAATTCACCTTTTTTGTTAAAGTATATCTTTGAGTTCTTTCCCGAAAGAGCGATACGTCTCGGTATTTCTCCTAGCAATTCAATTATATGGGCCAAATGATCTTCATCTCTGGAATGTTAACAATCGATTCGATTTAAATAATGTGTGAAAGAATGATTTTTAAAAAGTTTATATATAACTGCATTAATTCTGCTACATATGAATCTTGCAATTGTTACCTGCAGTAATCTTTCCCACTGTGCGGTTCAAAAAGATAATCACCAGTCGCCAATTCGAACGCCATACAAGCGGTAGACCATATATCAGCAGAGGTATCGTATCCGGAGCCTAATAAAACCTCGAGCGACCTATATTGACGAGTTTGAATGTCATCTGTGAATTTCTTATGAACCCAGCACGCGTTTCCGAGATCCGCTATCTTCACATCGACCTCGCACTCCATTATGGCGGGATCCAAGGGCGATACGAATGCCCGTTTCAATTGTTTACTTTCCGGTGGATTAAATGACCTACGACCTACAAAATAAAATGAAGGAAAACAAATGAAATTGTGCAGTAAGAAACAAAGATAAAATATGTCTTCGTTCGACGTAACATCTACCTTCGCTACATTCGTCGGTATCTTCAGCATCGGGTGGTAATACACCTTCGCCGCAATTTTTTTCCACATCGCATAGAGTCATGTTGTCTATTTTCTCGGATTGTTCGGGCGATGTATTCTGTATCTTTTCGCCGCCCGCTAAATCATCTACTCCATTCATATGTAAGGAAGGTGCAGACGGTTCCGAAATGTCGGGTGAACCTTTGCTCTCTGTATTGTCTTCTATACTTTCTGTATTAAGATCCTGATCTAGGCTATTCGTCTCAAGCTCCCCGTTCTCTCTTGTGCTATTCGCAAGTTTACTTTGTTCCTCTAATTCCTCGATCTGCTCCATCTGTTTCTTCAAGAGCTCATTTTGGCGCTTGGCTTTCTTCTTTAATTTTTTCTTCTTATTTTTAGACATTTTGGAATTTGGTATGGGTTCTTGAAACTCCTTTGGCGCAGTGGAAATCAGAGACACTGGCAATTTCGCTCCCATAGAATGCAGTTCTGTCGCTTCACAAGCTAATTTTCGTATATAAGTCTCATCAACGCATACAAGAACATTTTCGGGTTTAATATCTGTATGAATAATCTTACCTGAAAATAAAATTCAACATATTATATATAATGATAAATTTAGCTTATAAATTGTAGCTGCAGCATATTCTTTTCATTTGAGAAAATTAGAAATACATATTTCAATATAATTTAAACATCATCTTACATTTATTATGAAGATAGTCAAGACCTTCGAGAACTTGTCTGATGATGCGTTTTACGTTATTTCTTGGAATTCCTCTGTAGTTTGACTTGATAATCAATTTAAGAAGATTATGTCCAAGCACTTCAAATACCATGCAAACATGCAGACCATTTATGCCGCTAATCTTGAAGTCATTGAGCAACTGGACGGTCTTATTGCGTTTAGGATCAATGGGATCTGTATCGCGCACATCTTTTAACAATTTAATTTCATCCAATGCAGTCTCAGTAAAATGGGATGCAGATTTTACAATTTTAAGCGCAACAAAACGCTTATCCTATAGAATCAATTTTAAGATATCTTATATATTTTATATAAGTGTATAAAAGAAGCTCATTATCAAATTCATTAGTATACCTGTAAATCCCAGCAAAGCCACACAGTGGAGAAGTGACCCCATCCGAGCTTACGAGTGACATGATATCGATTTAAAAAGAGATCTCCTATCTTCACAGGGTGGTATCCGCCTTTACAATAGTCACTGCTGTCCTCTTGTTCCTCATCTTCGCTACTGAACACTTCGTCATCATCTTCTATCGTTTCATTGCTAGAACTATGACACGGTTCAAGTCCACGGTCCAGTCTATGACAAATATATCGATACATCATGAAAGCAAAATGATACGTAACCAATACCAATGTGTTCGTAACAATTAACTCATAACCCGACAAAATTGAGAAGCCAATGAGATAAAGCGAGAAGACTGTTATACGATATATAGTAAAATTTTAATTGATTTGAAAATTAAACTCTTTATATAATCGTCGCAGATTATAATCATTTATATTACCATCAATAATCACTGGAGAAATAATGGTAAAGATAATTTTACATTATATATTACATTAATTATTATTGTTCATAATCTCCACAGCGATTATGAATACATACATAGAAAGTACGAAACATTTACTTATTAAAATCCCTGTAACACATATTTGACGCACTCGACAGCGAGGGGATAAATCGAGACAAAAGTTTGAACGCGACTGTTAGCGAGGCGAGTCAACGACGAACTGTCATCCGCGCGTCCGGATGTGCGACACGTTATATCGCGAACGCCGTAATCGCAACTATAATAAAAAGCGCGTGTGCGTGCGTAGTCGTATCGGCGTACGTTATATCGGCGAACGCGTAACGTAACGCAAGTCCGGGCGCATCCTCGATGCCGGCTGTTCGACGAATCGGATCGCAATCCGGGTTACCTGGTCACGTTGTCACTGACGAAGACGCGCTGCTGCATGCGGGTGTCGGTGCACGGGAAGGCAGCGGCGGCCGCCTCTTGCCCGCTACGCGGTCCCTTGGAGCTCTGCGCGTCCTGATCACTCTGGGAATTGGCCTTGCCCTTGCGCTTGCTGGGCTTGTGCCGCTTCTTCTTCGCCTGGATCGCCAAGACCCGCCTGTTCACGTCCGTCTTGGCGCTCATCTCGCCGACTAACTGGATCCCCGTTCGGGTCTCCCGCTCTGCTACCCCCTTTCCCGACGCTTCTTCGCACGCAGGCAGGCAGGCACGCACGGCCCGCACTTCCGCCCGTTCCGGCCGCTCCTTCGTGCTCTTCTCGCTGCTGTTACTGCTGCTGGCCCGCTGGCTCTCGCCTCTCGCTGCTCTCGCACACCGATATATCGCGGCTCCTACACTCGCGCCGACTCGATTCGACCAAGCTCCTCGGCTCGTGATCTCTCTCTCGTCTCGCCTCGTTCTCCCTCGTAGCTTCGCGCGCGAATAATCTCGCAGAGATCTCCCTTTACTCTCTCGGATTCGACTCTATTATCACTTCATCTCTCGCGCCGCGCACTCCGTTCGGCTGTTGTTTGAGTATGGCCGTCGACGAGTACGTCCATCCGCGTATGTACCCCCGCATATGTATTCCTACGTAGGTGCGTATCCACCGCACCGTCTCCCGTGTCACAGAGGCGAGCAGGTGTCGTCGTGTCCCCCGGGACGAGCGGATCGTCCCCGTCGCCGTCGCCTCCTCGCCACCGACTGCCACTCGCCGCGGACGGTTCGCTCGCCCTTGCGCCGTTACGCCGTATACGCGAATGCGACGACTGACGATCGCTCTCCTCTCCACGCCGCTCGCAGTTGCCCACTTCACCTGCGATTTTTACTTAACAGCCGCCGGCTGCGTCCCGCGTCGATCGCGATTACGCTCGTCTCCGCACCGCGGCAGCAGACGGGCCTCCGAAATTCGAAAGACACGCGATTTATTTATTTTTCTTGTTTATTTTTTTCTGACTCCGGGTGGGTTTATCTTTCGATGTGTGCGGGGGGGAGAAAAAAATATTGTCGCGTATATCCTTTATCCCCGAGTTCTCGTTCCTCTTTTTGGTAAGACGCGATGACGTACGTTGCTCCGCGCCGTCACGGCGATTGCGCGCTTCGATGATTCGAACAGCGCCTTTGAGAGTAATTATTGGATTAATGACATGTATATACAGTTGATACCTGGCGCAGGAAAATTACGAGACGCGTATATCGATATTTTGTAATCGCTAAAAATAATGATATTAAATCGGGATATTTTACGAATAATCGCAAGTTGTTGAATTCATCGCATCCAACTTTAGTTTGTATACATTTGTAGAAAACCGATGTGTGAAAATAGAGTTCGTTCGTTTTACACTCTTCTTTATTTTCTAAATTGATTACCTGCTTTATCTCGATATAAACGGGAAATGAGAAACTAAATATGTATTGTTATCGATCTCAAAACTTTCGAATGTCCTTTTAATAAGATTTTGAATAGATTTCCGGTCCATTTGACGAGATGATATCGAGGCGTCAAAATAGCTTCAAGTGATAAAAAAGAAGATACGTGATCAAGAAAATTGAAAATAATAATCTCTCTCTATTGAGAGAACTCCGATCGATCCAAGAAATTTGCTATTAAAAGAACATTCATAGAATGATATAGATTTTGGAACATCCTATATAAACTTACCTATAGGCAAGTAACTTTCCTGATTTTGTGAAGCGCGGAATCTCAATGATCGTGCATGAATTGACAGACGACAACGCCCTCTCTGACAATCTCTGGTTTTACTTGATAAATTACACATCTATCGATAAGCGGAATCAACACGACAGGAGATTGCGATCGTTATCGTTTCAACGAATTTTTACAAAATATCCTGTATACTTAGGCGACAAGCAATTAAAATTTATGTGCATACAAATATTAATAATTAGTCTATTAAAATATCTTCATTAAAAAATTGCATAAAACGGTGAGTTTACAACGCTTTTCGAATCTACTGTTATATATAATAATATAATTAATATTGCATAGAAAAATATAGTCAATCGATATTGTTAATTAATTTCTATGCATTATGTAACGAACTAATTCTATACTCATATTATTATATATGCTTATATGAATATTACATCAGCAAATTTTACATACTATATGAAGAGGTTAGTTCTCCACAAATAGAAAAACATAAATACATAAATAATTGATGTATTATTCTTGCGATGTGAAAATTATACACTATGTTGTTTAGTTCCAATGTATCCTAACGAGTCAGTTTGTTTCACATTGAATATTATATGTTTAAAACTTATATGTTTAAAACTTTTATTTCAAGTCTCTATATTTTATTTTTGAGTTATAATTTGTATTTGTTAATGCACTAAAATGTATTTTTATTATAAATATTTTTCTATTAATGAAATACACTTAACAATCTATCTTAACAAATATCGTTTTCCATGCGATAATAAATTATTACCTGTTACAGGTAGCGATGGATACATTGGAACTAAAGCAAAGTCTGACTGGACATAGAGGCAGAGTATGGAGTGTTTGCTGGCATCCTAAGAATGCTTATTTAGCATCTTGCGGCGAGGATAAAAAAATTATAATCTGGGGATTAGAAGGGCTTAAATGGGTTACAAAGATGATTCTTACCGAAGGACATTCTAGAACTATTAGAGAATTAGCTTGGTCCCTCTGTGGTCGTTACATTGCATCAGCGAGTTTTGATGCAACTACTGCAATATGGGATAAAAATGAAGGACAATTCGAATGTAATGCAACATTAGAAGGACATGAAAACGAAGTGAAAAGCGTTAGTTGGTCATCCTCTGGTGACCTACTTGCTACATGTAGTCGCGACAAATCAGTGTGGGTATGGGAAGTGAATGGCGTAGATGAATTTGAATGTGCTGCAGTTATTAATGCTCATACTCAAGATGTAAAAAAGGTATGTTTATGTAAATTGATCTATTAAAAAAGAAAAAATATGTTAAAAATGTAGATCTATCATCCATGATTTATCTAGAAAAATATAAATTTTAATCTATTTCACTAATATATAAATGGACTTTATACATTTCTTATATATAACAAGAGTGTACTTTTATTGTAGGTGAGATGGCATCCTAATGAAGAGATTCTGGCTTCTGCGAGTTATGATAATACAGTGAAGATTTTTAAAGAAGATCCGGCCGATAGTGACTGGATGTGTGTCGCAACTTTATCATCTCATACTTCTACAGTGTGGAGTCTTTCATGGGATAAGATTGGTAATCGAATAGCAACCTGCAGTGATGATAAAACGGTAAAGATATGGCGAGAATACAAATGTGGAAATGAAACAGGCATTCCTACACCAAATAATGAGCCTGTCTGGAAATGTATTTGCACACTGTCAGGCTATCATACCAGAACTATTTATGACATTGACTGGTGCAAAACTACAGGTTTATTAGTGACTGCATGTGGCGATGACATTATTAGGATATTTAAGGAAGATAGTGATTGTGATCCACATCAACCAAGTTTTACAATGATCTGTTCAATGGACAATGCACATGCTCAAGATGTTAACTGTGTTCAATGGAATCCTACAGTTCCTGGACAATTTGCCTCTGCAAGTGATGATAGCTTAGTGAAAATATGGTTTTACAATCATAAAGAATAAAATTATATAAATATAGTTTTGTTTTATTTAATATAATATAATTTTATCTTTCTTTATCTTTCTAATTTTATCTTTCTTTATCTTTCTTTGTTTTTAAATTTAAGAAATCTTTATTAAAGAAATTTAAGAAATCTTTATTTTAAAAATCTAAGGCTAATGAATAATAAATTATAAAAATAGGAAATCAATTTTTATTAAAAAGATAAGAAAGATTTTCATTTCCTTCAAAACTCAATATCTTTACATTTTTGTAAAGATTTGTATTCTTTAATATAAGTAATATTAAGTAACAAATATTTTGTAACAAATTCTATAAATAAATAATGAATTAAAATATCTATTATATTTTATTCCTTAACATTCCTTAACATTTTTAAATGTAATAAATCACATATTATTTGTAATCACATCTTCATTTTAGGGCTCCACATGTTAAAGCACTCATACAACATAGGATTATTTTGTAATTTCTATTTACAATATAAATATATTAATAAGTTTAAATATATCAAACGGTATAATACGATACGTACGATGAGTAACATCGCAGAAAATAAAATTGGCATGCCTTTGAAGGAGATTCTGAGTGCAATATGTAAATTTGCGGACACCTCACTCGCAGCTTCCTGGGATAATGTCGGATTACTGATTGAACCTACAGAACCCAAAAATGTATCGTGCATCTTATTGACAAATGATTTAACTGAAGATGTTATGGATGAAGCTATTCAATTACAAACTGATTTAATCATCACATATCATCCATTAATATTTGCTCCATTGAAGTCTATTACAACTCAATCTTGGAAGGTACCGTCAAATATACCGTAAAATTGTTGAAAAAAATTATTGCGATTTTTAATTGTTATTTATATATAATAGGAGCGAATAGTGGCGAGATGTCTAGAAAATAAAATTGCTGTCTTTTCTCCACATACTAGTTTTGATTCCGTAAAAGGCGGTGTAAACGACTGGTTAGCGGAAGCTTTCGGTAAAAAGAAATTATTACAGCATCTATAAATCAATTATTAATACATTAATATTTTATTTTATGAAAATATTTTAAGAGCTTGAAAGCAGCAAACCAATTCAACCGGATACGAATAATCCGACTTACGGATTGGGAAGACTGTGCACCTTAAAGAATCGGGTATCTATTGAAGAAGCAGTGAATTTAATAAAGCAACGTACAAATCTGAAATACGTTAAATTAGCACGTGCACGCACTGCAGGTAAGTGTTGACAAAAATAATTTTTATTGCTCAAAAATAAAATAAATGACGAAAATATACGATCACACTACTTTTATTATTGTTATATTTTAGATGATTATATTAATACCGTTGCACTATGTGCTGGATCAGGTGCCTCGGTATTGAAAGAAGTACCTGCAGATTTATATCTTACGGGTGAAATGTTGCATCATGATATATTAGATGCCGTACATCGCGGGATCCATGTTATATTAACAAATCACTCTGATTCGGAACGTGGTTTTTTGAAAATATTTGCTTCGATACTAGATAGTGCTTTGCAACAATCTGTCAAAGTGTGTCTGTCTAAAGCTGACAGGGATCCATTACAAACTGTTTGAGCCGTTATTAAAAAATGCTCGCCATATATATAATATTCGATATTTAATGTAAAAGTTGATACGAATAAATTACAAATAGTATCACTCATGAAAGGAATTTTTCATTGTTAATATAAATTATTTTGATTTTTGTTTAAATTCAATGAAACATATACTACAACTAAAAGGCACATCTGAAAGTAACATATTGACATTATAAAATGCAGTTAAAAAACAGGATTTTTTTTTACATAAAAATATTTTATAGAATGTTTCAGTTAATGTGCATTTTCGGTTATATATAAAATGAAATAAAAATGATTATCTTTCTTTTTAGTTCTGTTATATTAATGTTGAATAAAAACACTTTAATATTACTTTTATATATATTATATATAAAAGAGAATTTTCATTGGGAAAAATCTTACGTTTAGGCATTATACTTTATCTTGATGAGGAACTTTAATTTTATAACACCATAATTTTTAAAACATTATGCACAAATACAAATAAAATTTTAGCTAAGAAAATATTTTCTCTTGAATTTGTTAACAAGTCTGTAATTTTTATAAAGTGCGTAACTTAAATACTTTGTTATATATATATATATATATATATATATATATATATATATATATATATATATATTTATTTTAGTTCAGAATCTTACTTTTTACATAATCTATTTATTAATTATTTTAAGTTTTAAATTTTAATATCATTAAATCTAGAGAGTCTCTTCTTCCAACCTTTGACTATAATGTTTTATACACTAAAATGAAAAGAAACGGCTATATATACTTTAAATGACACACCATTACGTATGGTTTAATCACAATAGATTTATTTGCACGAAATAACAATTAGTTATTATCTAAACTCGGTCAAATTAAGAAGTAGACAAGACTGTCTCAAATTGTTCGTGTAAATTCCAATAGTTCCGCAGTGAAATGCACGATACACACACAATGATATTCTAATCTTAATTTACATGGCAGCAATGATATACAGGCATATCTTGAGGACAAGATGCTGTAAATCTCAAACCGTTTATTTAATTCGTTATACAAACAATTAAAGTTTTCAAGATAATGTAACATTATATAAAAATCAAGCATGAAAGGGTTTGTATTTTTCTTTAAATGATTATCCAAACTTTATGATTTGTTTTCGCACACACATATTTATATATTCATACATAACGTATTACATAAAGTGTGTGAAGATATATTACATGCTCGTATAATATACGATATCGTACAGCAAACAGGGTCAAACTTTTTTTAATAATTAATAGTTTCAAATATTATAATATTATAATCATGAAATTTAAAAAAATTATATAAAACATATTATAAAAAATTATGATCTCCTATATTACTTATCGCCTTTGCACTAAAGTTTTACAATAATCGTTTGAAGCGACGCAATTGTTGTCAAATTGTTTAATATGAAGTATTATAAGACTGAATAAATACATTGAACGATATTATATCGAATTCAATAGAATTCTGATATGATCGTAGAACAATAATTAAATTTGATAGTCATCATCAAAACGTATTTGTTATAATTTCGCTACAAAATATAACAGAGATTCATCAAAATCTTCTTTTTTATATCGAAGATAATCGTCAAGAAATAATAGTCTTTTAAAAACTTGTATTCAAGCGAATGACCCTATTATTTTAACATGACATGCTCAATCATGCGTTATTTAACGTGTTCTTATTTTAGCGCAGCTTTACATCGTACCTTATATATATTCTCGTACGTGTCCTCGCAACATAATAAATTTTAACATATTTCTATGTTAAAATGTCTAATATGTTTATTAACAGTAACATGTACACGTTCTTTTGGCAAATACAACGTATTGTCTTGTAAACCGTGGTAAAGCAAATTTAATATTACTTGCTGCTCAAAGAGCCTTTCGAATTAAATAATTATTTTTACAAATATATCCGATTTTCGTTACCCTGTCTTCACCCATTCGCATTCAGATCATACACGATGTTTTACTAACAACGAAAATCTATTCCCTTATTTTTACATCTTTTTGTTACGAGATCGTTCTGTTACATTTTTTAACTTATTGTTATCTCCGTTTCATCCTTGTATTTCTTTTAATGGATCCATCTTAAAACTTCTTTTTCCGTCTATATTTATCTATAAACGTTTGCGAGGTACTCTCTTATTGACGTAGATAGTACAGATGACGTTCATAAGTCTCTCTATAAAGAATATATTTAATGTAAAAAACAAAAAAAATTTAATTGAAAAATATATTAGTTACGAAAACTATTTAATTTAAACATATATAATAACAATAAACGAATAAAGAATAATTTAATAATATTTTTAATGTATATATATATATATATATATATATATATATATATATATGTATGTATATATGTATACAAATAATATATTAAGTATGAAAAACATAAGTAATTCATTTTATTGTAAAAAAAATAACTTGCAGTTTATTTTATCGATCAATTATTCATACGAAGTTTAATCCATGGAATATTCAATAGACACTCGTGCTCTTTTCTTGAGAATCAAGTAATAAAGAAGTGAAAAAAGAGAAATTTGAAAGGAATATCTCTAATTAACATTTATAATGGTCCATTTCTACGTCTAGTAAGGATGATTCAAAAAGGTCAGAAGCGTCGTTGAGATCATTACAAAAGGTAAATTGGCTAATCTTAGCTGCCCGCCGTGTTGCATCGCAGCCGGATGTTCCCCTGCAAGAATCGGAAAAAGATTAATATCGTCTTTCCTTTCTTTTTTTTTCAAACAGCAATTTTGCAGGGAAGTGTTTATTTTTTCGCAATATATTCTGAATAATCAGAGCTGAATAACGCATGGAGATAACTATTAGGTATATTAAGCCGTTGTACAAACGTTATAACAATGTAATAGCAGGTGCGTTATAAGATTAAGAAGTATACATACCATTAAGTACATGAACTAAGATTGTTTTTGTGTTGGCGTTACTGGGATGGCAGGTGTATTGTCCGTTATCCGCCGGTTGAGCACGTTGAATTAAAAGGTACGACGTCGTTACTTCGCCCTTCTCCGTGATAACCGATACCCCCCCTCTCGGACTGTCGTAATTGATCGCCTGTCACATGCAGATCCCGGAAAAATGTTATTCTAATTAAATTTCTTCCTACAACGCTTATACACAATAGCGTTCATCGAACCGACGAGGAAATCTATTAATTAAATGATTGATTAATTTTCAGTTGAAAAAGTCGAAAGCGACACTGATTGGCAACATTTACTAAGAAAAACTATTGTAATAGAGTAATTAGCTCGTTCTCATTCTACATATGAATGGAATAGATGCGAAATCAATGTTTAACTAGTTTTATTATTATCGTAAATCATATAATAATAATTACAATTATACTACAATAATTTTTTACATGCGATAAAAATTAGAGAAACCCTCTCGTATATATAATATGAATTTCTTTAATTAAATATACTTTTGCGTGAGGACGTATGCTACTATATTTATATTTCGCGGATATATTTCCTCTGCGAGTTAAAAACTGCGTAAAACTCTCCTTTATTCCGACTCGATCGCATTTCCTGGTTTGTAAACTGGTGGAAATCCAGTCTCGGAAACTTTGGTAAAATCGATAATAGCAGGAATCAGTTTATGTCTGTATTTCGCTGAAACTCATAATGTTTCAGAGCTGAACTTACAACACTTTCAAAATAAACGATTTATATGTCACTGTTGCAAAATGGATTTTGAGAAAACTTTCAAAGCCTTCAAGAAGGTAATAAATTCCAAAGTATAACTACAACTAAATGTTTTATCTTTTTTATACTTAATATGTTTTTTTATATTAAATATCTTTTTTATACATATTATTTTCTTCTTAATACAATTTATATTACGTATCAGTTTCATATTTCGATATCTGATAATATCTTGCAAATTCGTATCTGCTTTTAATTTAGTATTTCTCCATTAATCTCGTTTATTTTCATTTTATTACTTTTCCTCGTTAAATTTTAGCAGTCGTTATATTTTGCAGGCCAGACATTATATTTTATTTCTCTATGTTATCTGTTTAGTAAGACAAGAATAAATTTTTGATCAAATCATCCTGGTTATTATATTTTTGTGCTGATTTGCAATATCTAATTATTATCTCGATATCATATATCTATATATTGCATACTGCATATCTCACATTAATTTATCAAAAATTTTCGTCCGTAGTAACAGCTTGTATCTCTTTAATATCATAACATAGATTGGATTGATTTATATATTTCGAATTCGCGCGGAAAATATGACATGAAGAATATTTCTGAAATATCAAAATCTGAGATATCAAACATTTTGCCTAGTTTTATGTGTACGTGTTTTATGCAAAAATTTGAAAAAATCTGAGTGTGTTCTCTGTATTAAAAAATAATAAATATTTCATACATTTACTTCTAATCAATATGAAAACTAAATATTCATTCACTTTTGTTACAATCAGATATAATTCATTCAAATTTTTTCCAATTGAAACGAAAATCCAATTAAATAGGCTTTTTGCATTTAATTGAATTTTAATAAGCTATATGTAGAGATAATTTTATATAATTCACTGATAATCTATATGAATATATATATGTACATATTTTTTAGTATTAGATGGATGATATCGTTACATTTATATGTACGTTTCGTTTTTCCTTCTTTAATCAGACTGATATTTTTTCTAATAGCGTTCTTTATTTTTACATATCTCAAAAGGACTGACGTTTAATGCTACAAAGCTTTAATGTTTATTAAGGAGTGATTGCAATAGGCTGCGGTTCTTTATTCATTTTCTGTGGAAAACCACAAGTCTGTGAACTGAAACGTCAATGAATAAATCTGTTCCTTTAAAGGGATTTACTGACATTCCATATCATAAATCCATGTCATAAATCTTTAATATTTATTAAAGAATAATTGCAATAGGTTGCGGTTCTTTATTCATTTTCTGAAGACGGCCACAGGTTCGTGAGTCGAAATTTCAATAAATAAATTTGTTTTCTGGCCGAGAGATATGTACTAATTAATTACATAAATACAAAAATATTTCAAAAATAAGAGATAGTTGCATTTAATTTCTATTAAATTTTGGTTTAATTTAAAATGTAATTTTAATAATATAATTTAAAAAAAATTGTAGCTCTCTTGATGGATAATGTTAATATATTCTCATTTTGTGTAAGAGCCGGCGCGAATCATTGTCTACATGTCATTACTACAACTACATACCGTTAGTAAATTCCAATGTAACAATACCGACGACTGAGTGCTGTCGGCGGACCACAAAATGTCAAAAATTTTGAAATTTTGGAAAATTCAAAATATCAAGTCCACAACACGCAGTATAAATATTTGTATCTTCGTATTTGTTGCAATTTTCAAATACTATGTCGCACAAATATTATTTATATGCGAAATTCTCTAAATAAAATGTCATCTTCCTACTTTATTTTATATCATTATTTTATGACATTATTTTCAATTAATATAGGAAATATTTCTAACATATATGTGAAAAATATTGCAAGGATTCAATCCAAACAATATTTGTTTTCAAATTACACAGTCTGTGTTTTATTTTATCCGAGGAAGATTATTTCGGACAAGAGATCATTTCGGGACACGCACTTTGTCTGGATTTTTAAAGTCCGATAAATTTCAATATGATTCTTTCGAGTTAAAATGTTTGTCTAAAGATATTCAGAAGTCAAATAATATAATCTGAAACGAAGTTTTTTTCTCTGCGGTGTAACTTTCTTGAATTAGGTCGATCTTACGTAAGTCTCTTTAATGAGGATATATAAAGCGGATTACACCATGGATAATACTGATTGTTCAGTTGGTGGAAGTGCTGCAAGCACTGGAAATTTACTCGAATACCTCGAATACTGGAATTGTTATTTGTTTTTTTGCCAGAGATAATTTTATTCGCTATTTATTTGTTAAGATCTTAACGCGCGTGATGATACTTTTACATTTTAATTATATATAGTTTATAATTATGATGTATGATGATGATATATTTATGTAATTAGGCACAAAAGAGAAAGTTAATGGAGATTGATGTTTGTGCGAAATCAATTATACCAACAAGACAGTAACGTGATTGCACGTTTACCGATTATTTATGTTACATATGCTGCATATCTCAACAGGCATAATTCTCCGTACAAACGCAGGATTAACTAGGTCATAGGGATGGAAGGAACACGTGTGACAAGACAGACGGAAAATACGGGACTAGCAGAAATACTATGCGTCGAATTTTTCACTCCAAGTTCGAGCGAACGCGCGAGATCAAGATGGGATTGGTTAGTACAGATGCAATAGCATCGGAACGGGATAAAAAGCGAATGATGAGACGGAGCAAGTACGCGAAAGAAAATCTCTGCGTACGCGACACGAAAGCTTACAAGATACGAGAGTTACAGAATAGATAGGGGTTTGGAGAAAGAAAGTTAAATTCTTGAGGAAATAGAGTAAGAAATAACGTGACAGACGGAGGAGAGCAAGATTTGAACCCGCAGGTGAGGATTGCGATAATCGGATTGCAAAAAAAGTCTTCAAATAAGAGAAAGGGAAACGAAAGAGATAAATAACCAGTGAAAAAAAAAGAAAATGAATTTGCTCGTAAAAGAAACGAAAGAAATGGCAAGAAAAAGAAAAAGGAAGAAAAAGATGAATAAAATTCAAAATGATATTAAATTTGTAGACTTGAATAAATCACATAGATTCTTGTGCTATATAATAATAATAATAGATAACAAATGATAAATAAAAAAAAGTTGCACTAGAAAATAATATGTCAGAAACAAAATAAGAGAATTGGTCAACAAATCATGAATAATTAAATTAGATTTTCTAAACACATATCTAGCTTAGAACTCTACAATTTTAAATTGTGTAAGCATTGATGAAATAATAATAAAATGTATAATAAGGAAGAATGAAGATAAGAGCGTAATATTCGCGAAGAAATAGAAGACACCGCGAAAACGGCGAGAGAGTTAATGCGATGAACTGTCGGTGGAGCTCGAAAGTAGGAATATAAGATCTAAGTAGAAGCCCACAAGATACAAAGACAGACACGGTTGGAGAAATAGGTGTTGTATAATGCGACCAGGGTTAGTAAAGCACACACTGGAGAAACTTTACGCGGTAAAGAGAAAGAGAAAGAGAAAGAGAAGGATAAAAGATAGATTTTGAAGTTGAGAAATGAGATGGAGTTACCGCGATGTTCGTACATTTAAAAATTGAACAAGAAGAAACGCTCTCTAGACAGGTAATATTAAAATTAAAAGTTTTCTCTCCTGCAAACTCGGAATCTTAAAAACTTAAAAACTTGTTTAAAACGCGTCACACACCGAACGGATAGAGTGCAATTCGAATAAGACATCGAATAAGAAATTACGGCAAAGTGGAAAGATGCGGATTTAAAAGTTAGTCTTTTATATGACATCTTAGAGATAATGATTGAAAATGTCAGCGTTTCTTTCTCTTCTTAAAATCACTCTCAATTTAGTCAAACAAAATTACACTTAATGGCAACATACCTCATTATTGTGAGTCCATTTAATGGTAAATGGTGGTTCAGGACTATGTCGTACAATGCAGGTCAAATTCATAGTGCTATCCTTGTCTATATACATTTCTGGTTCCCCGATAATTATCGTCACAGGCTCTGCGAATAAAGATAAAAATATACATTAAAGCAAATAAGTATTGTTGCATAATCATTTGTAAGAAGAAATAATTCGATCGATATCTCACGTAAGAATTGTATTAATTCACAGAGTATCATATTATACCGATAAATGGAAATTTTTCCTTTTAAATTCTTGAAATGCGGCGGAAATTTTATCAGCTTCTCAAACTTAGTTTCATTTGAACTTTTCTCTCTTAATTTTAATTACCATAGAATTAAGGAATATCGTATTTAAAACATACTATCAAAATATTCATATAGTGGTAAGAGGTATTAATTTAATGCTCTTTTTTCGATTTTAATATTGTTTGTAAAAGAAACCCTATCTGCCAATTTTGTTTACAAATTTTAATGAACATTTTAAACTTTAAATTTTAAAATTTTACTATATTAGTGGACGTTATAATTTATTTCTGATGAAAATACAAGTTTAATGCAAGCCAGGAAAAAATGAAGCGAATATCCTAGACTCATAAAGAATTTATATTTTCCAATTACATTTATTATTTTATGCAAGTTATTGTTTTCTTTGTAATTCACTCAAATATAAAATTAAACTCCATTGGCATAATAATAAAAAAACAAATAAAAATTAAATAGTATATGAAAAACATAATAAAATTGTACATACCTCCGCGCATTAATTAATTTTCCTCTTTTTAATTAAGATTTTACTCCTTTTCTTGTGTACAATATTTTACAATTTTATATTATTTCGTTTAAAAAATACTCAATTTAGTGAAAGAAATATTATTTTAACAAATATAAATTTATAAATATTAAGACAAATTAGTAAGTCATCATTAATGGATAAATCATAATCGTGTTAAATTATTCGTTACTGGTTTGCTTATGCTCGTCGTTATTTATAATTAAAAACATTAACGATACATATAAACGACATATAATATCAGACATTTTTAATAATACACATGGATATTGATATTAATATATCACTATGATGTAAAAAATGATACTTTATCTCTCTCTCTCTCTCTCACTCTCTCTCTATTTCTATCTATCTATCTATCTATCTATCTATCTATCTATCTATCTATCTATCTATCTATCTATCTATCTATCTATCTATTTATCTATCTATCTTTTTATATACATATAATAATTGCTGTTATGTCAAAATGTTAAAAAGAAATTTATCGCAAAACATTTTTGATAATCAATTTTTATATGATATTGAATATTGGATTAATTTCTATTATAAATCTGTATTTTAGCAGATTGATATTAAATGGTTAATATATCAAGTTAATACTAAGTTCAAAATTATAGAAGCTGATTAAAGTTACTATCCGCAGAACGAGCGAGCATGCATAATGATAGAAATTTATAATTCGCGAAGTTCCCGGAAACTGTGCAATCTGTCTGACGAGCTTCGTACAAACTTCAACGAGCTTCATAAAAATCTTGGGGAAAGGAAGAAGTCCATTTCATAAACCGTATCTCTTCGTGATAATTTAATTCTTCCAATTGAATTCATCGATGCGATATGAAAGATAAGATTGTAAAGACAAGGTAATAGTAAAATATCTAGGAGTCGCATGTCCCATTGAGAAACACTTTCCGCAAATGATTAAGTCATACAATGAATCAACCCCTGCGGTACAGCAAATTCCGTGAGTATCGCGATGCACGTACGGTGCACATTAAGCTACCAACAAACAAACAGATATAGTGTGAATTTCCGCGTTGCGGTGAAATCAGCACGACACTGACGGTCTCGCGCGGTGAAAAACAAGATGAAAAGAGAGAGACAAGAGAGAGGTACAACTCACCGACGACAGAAAGGAGCATGGAATGACCTATGGGCGGCGTTGTGGATACTTGACACTCGTATGTGCCAGAATCTCGTCGTTGAGGGTATTTTACTTGTAGCGCCCAGTCCTCCGTGTGCGGAAAATGTAACGCGACGAATCTCTGGTCCGATGTATATGTCTCGACGCCCACGGTGAGAAGATGGATATCCCTGTGTCTCACCCATGACACCTGGAAAAAGAATAGCCGCGCATCCTTTTCATCAGATCCTTTCGTGTCTTGCTCGTCTGTAATTCGCACAGCTGAGCTCCCAGGATGAAATCCACAAATATCCACAAATCAGTCGATTAAGGGATTGCGATCGGTGTAAATGGATTCGAATTTCAATACGGACGGATAAGAATAATCTTCTGACAATGAAACAAGCGAAAGATCTATTTATCCTCGCATGAAGCGCATAAAGAATCAAATTCGCCAAAAAAATTTACACCAACTACAATGTCTCTGATTTCGTATATTTCATATTTTGTCGATGGCGTTCGACGGATCGTATTCGTCACCGCATAGAGAGAAAGATACACGTGATTGATTTACATAAACGCAGCGTGCGTTCGAGCGTATTATATTAGCGAGAACGCGGTCGATATTGAAATACTGAACACGTAGAATGAAAATGCGTATTCCCCCATAAAAACGGCTTCATTGAGTTTTGCACGCGTGTCTGGCGTACTGAAGTTGAGATGAAAAGGGGCAAAGGTGCAGGCACAAGAACCGCGACGCGGCTTTTGTTCATATGACGTGTAGTTACGTTCGATCCAACTAATGAAAAGCGTATATTCGATTTTAAATTAAAAAAAAAATAACAGCTGTACGATTGTAACTTTGCTTTTGACTCGCAAAAGACTTCCGCGCCGACAAAGTTAATCGTTAAAATAATTTTCAAGATTTAATAATTTTGTTTCGATGCTTATTAAAAAGTAATACGATTTAAAAAATATATTATTAAACGTTATTAAACGAACCAATTAACAGCTTTTAATTAAGAAATATAATTAGCTAGAAAAGTTGTTGCAAAATTTATCAAAATTAAATACAGTAATATTAGATTTAATTTATGAAATAATTTGTAGTTTAGTTTTTTAAAGTAAATAGTTTTTTAAAGTATTTTTTTTAAGTTAAGAAAGATAGTATTTAAAATATTTTATAAAAAATATATATATTAAAAACGAAAAAAGAAAAAAGAGTTCAAAATAAATTTACACTTTTAAATATAGCTATAGAATAAAATCATCAATTTATATTGAGATTGCGATTAAAATATGTAATTTAGCGCTCTTTGTTCATTTCATTTCAGTATTCATGAAGATTTGCTTGCGTGGGTATCGACCTATATTCCCCATATATTCTACAAATGCACTTTCAATATGAAGCACGAAAGAATATTTGTATATATATGTGATTCCCAAGCGGGATATACTAAAGTGAAAAGATCGATTTATCAACTTACGTCAAATTTCTACATTTTCGAATACTTTTGCTAGCCATCATAACATCAGTACTCTTTTCCAGCTTTTTCTTTTCTTTTTCTTTTCGTGATTATGGCATACTACCATCCGTGAAAACGTCACACAAGCAAATAATCTTAAGCTTTCAAAAATCCATTTTGAAAATGTCAATATGTACATTCATTCAAATATGACAGTGTCTGTAAGTGTACAATTCCTTGAAAGCGATGTACTTTTCTGATCAATGTATGATGTATAATAATAATAAGAATCACGCGTATTAATCACATGTATAAAAGCTAATATTGCGTGATATTCATTATTAATAAAATTATATACGATTGCATTTCAATGAATAATAATCAAATGTTGTATTGAATATTGTAATCCAGTGAGAATAATAAAATATATTTTTTTATTTCTAATAATTTCCAAATCATTTTAAATATAAAAACTTTTACATCATATATATTAACTCGATGTAATAAATTTCAAAATTAATGCAATTTTATATATGTATAATAAAACATGGAAACTGTGGAAAATCATTTTATAAAAGGACATTTTAATTATCTACGTATTACTGCAGATTATACCGTTGGAATTAAATATGCATTTTCTTTTCTCATAAATAATTTTATACCAGAATTTTAGTTATGATTTTCGTATTAATTCGTCATTCAAGATAATAAGTTTTCCCTAAAAATTAACGCCGGTGTACATAAGGTTGGGACGTGCAAAATTTACATTGCTCTGTGAAAACGTAATTCAACTACCTACGCATGGACGCAGCAAAGAGACAGATTGTGCCGGTGAAATATAAAAAACGGTGCTAACGAAATAGGGACGAGCAGCGCGAGCAAAAACTCAGACGCGAAAGATGCGAAAGAGTGTGCTTTTTTACTAAAATTTCTCTCAAGCGTACTGGCGCATGCTGGATGTAAAAAAAAATGAAAAAAAGAGATATACAACGCTCTTTTATACAACTCTCTTGACTATCCTCGTCTGCGATGTTCCACTTCTTCATATAAGTGTCTCATGATGAGTTAACTTTATTATACATGTGGTGACACAACACACACACATACACACACACACACACACACACACGCACAAAAATAAACACCGTATATGACAAAGATATAAAACTGCGTGTCGACTTTAAAACTAATCGAGTTTTATAGCTACAAGTTTTACGACATTGATAGTCACACTTTCTTCGTTCTCTTTCTATTATAATCTATTCATAAACTTCTATAAATAACGATATTATGATGTAAATAATGTATTTTCATATTTATCTTTCATGTTCATTCTCATATTTATCTCTTCATATTTATCCTCCTATTTATCACATATAACATTGATATTGTTATTTGTTTTATTTATTCCAAAAGTATAAATATAGTATAAAACGTGTACGTAAGAAAAAAGTTACAAATATTTAATGAACAACATTTTCACTTTAAATAGATTTTTAATAACTAAAATTGAACTACCTATGCTTTGAATTTATTTTTGGCACAAGTTCTTAGCTTATTTCAAAAATATTATTGCTGAGAAATATTTTAGTACTGACAGTCAATTTCGATATATCGGAGATGAAAATGGTACTCACAAACCGCAATGCATATTATGGGACTAAAATTGAACATTTCTCTGATATTACAAGGATTTGAGTGTGCTAAAGAAATATCTCGTTTAAACTTCATCACTCTCTCTCTCTCTCGCAAATTCTTAAAGAAGTTAAAGTAAACTTTAGGAAACGGAGAGAGAGCTCTCTTTATCGATACTTATCTATATGTTCTGTGCGCCAAACTTATAATATTACTAAAATCGTATTATAAAACTTTATTAGTTTTAATATAACGCGTAATATAATGCGTGCGAAAATAATATTATTAGGTTATAAAACTACACTGAATATACGAAACGGTATGAATGAATCGTTATTACGATATTAGCGAGTACTGTTACATGTTACTGCTCTCATCGCTTAATTTTTTTACCGATTTTATCCTGAAAAGGATAATATTAATATTGAGAGATAAATGAGCTGTATTCAAATTTAAATAAATTTCCTCTCAATTATCGCAGTGATACAGAACACACGCGTACCTTATATCAAGAGAAAACACGAGTTACATACATACATACGTACATATACATGCTCTCTATCTCTCTTTCTTTACAGAAATATAAATTACTTTTTATGAAATAAAAAGAGAATATCTTACATACCGTTCGATCGCCTAGATTTCGTACTCGACACTTTAGCATTGCCGTCTGGCCGACGAGGGCTGTCACGTTGCGAGAGACAGAGACATCAAAATACGGTCCTCGATCGAGCGGCTCTGATGCGCGATCCTCGTGTATCCTGCGATCGGCGGTGCAACGGGTAGGTCCTTGCACTTTAAGCAAACACAGTACTATATCTTAGCGAGGCTAACTGTGTCTTTTAATATAGGACGAAACGTAATTTACACCGTTCAAAGAAATATATTATCATCATTCCGTTCTTTCTCGAATGCATTGAAAGTCGCTTTCCAGTCAATTAAACGAATTACTTTTAAATCGAAGTATTGAATTTCTTCTTAATACGATCAAAAAGGAAAGTAATTATCTAAATAAATGCTTAAAGGAAATTCCAATTTTTAAACGTTCTTCATATTTTTTAAACATTTTCTAACCGTTGTGCTGCTTCATATGTATTGTGTGATAAGCAAAAGCGATTTATTAATGCGGTATATAGTATATTTCATGCAGTAGTTTACGTCATAAAAAGCCGTATTATTCTCGGGTTAACGACGTGTCCTTTAATTCTTATTGCTCGCTCCCTGTTGCATGATAACATAAAATTAAACGTGTTTTGTACCCATATATAAACAAATTATTCGTATATTTTATGCAACGCAGGTTTCGCATAATTGAATAATTTTTCATAAATATTTTAGTAGTTACAGACGAATCTAAATCGCCGCAGAATGTAATTAACCTTTAAGATCTCTCAGTTACTTAGAAAGTGTTTTAAGATAAGACAAAACCATAAAATAAGATGGAACATGTTTTATCGAGTATCTCTTCTGCAATTTTTTAGCATTATTATCAGAGTATAACTCTTTGTAAAAACACCTCTTACAACCAAAGAAAAGCTATTAGAATCTGCAAGACGATGGCAATTAAAAAATGAAGACACCTTGCTTAAAAAGGAAACATCTTGCTTGCTAAAAAAAGAATAATATCAGAGATAGAGAATACCTAAAATATCTACTTCTCAGAACCAATATTATTGGAAAATGATACAATAGAATCATACAGCTATTATTTTTATTTTTTTAATTTTACAGTATCTTCCCTAATTAATTAGAAAAAAAGAAATGGATATACACAGAATTATATTTCTTGTGAAATTTACAATCTCTTTTTTAAATGTCAAGCCAAATTATTAGATTTCTCTGTTACATTTTTTAAAACATTAATATTTAGTATTTTTCATTAAAAAATATCAAAAAATTATAATTCTCTTTAGATTAAAGTTTACTTTAAATTGAACGGTTAATGTTTCATTTATCTGGCTAAAGCTTAATTCGTGTAAAATTTCTTTTATTACGTCTCAAGAAGTCTTTATTTCTTTATGATTCTTTTTGTAATATTTTATAATCATTTGTTTTTCATTCATTTTTTTTCCTTGATTTATTTCGGATTTGAAGTTCCAGTAGCTTTTTATCAAACAAAATGTTTTCTCTACCACATGTTTTATATTTCAAAGTTTCTTTTACCTTTCTCCCTTAAAAGTTTCCTTCTTAAATTTCTCTCTTCTACAATTTTAGAAAGTTTAAAAAAGTTCATAAAAGCAACTCATGTATATCTTGAATATTAATAAATGCATATTTGTGTCTCTTTGCTTTTGAAAGTACTCTTGTGCTTTGCACGGAACATCGAATGTTTAACATTTGACTGTAAACACGATTGTATATTCTGATTCAATATACCAAGTAGCATAACATGCTTGTAACCATAAATAGCCGTGAAATAGCAAAATCATAAATTGACAATGTGAACCCTCCATTATTCGTTTATCAAGTTCTCTAATATTGTGAATTGTCCATCGTTTACAGGGAAGTTTGTAACTTTAGTTGAACGTACATACTTCGTATATTATATATATAGACATTTCTATATAAGCGGCAACTTGACGTTGAATATACTCTTTGTAACATTAAAGCGAAAATGTGTAACAACGTGAAAGAGCTTCTTATATACAACAAATGAGATGCATGGGATGTAGAATATATGCTTTTTTCCGAAAGAAAAATTCCGTTCCCGATATCGGTCACACAGTTTTCGAATCCGATAAAACCGTCGTCAGAGAGCCGTGCGTTAAAAATAAATGTAGCTCCAAAAGGGTAACCTTAAAGGGATGCAGGTAGTTTTGCGAGTAAATATTTACCTCACCGCGCTTCCGTGGGATTTGCGCTGTCCCGCATAACCCACGTTAAAATACATATCAGGATTTCCATCCTGCCGACTGTATTTTCTTCGTGTTTTACAGTTACTCTTACAGCAGTGTACAATGAATTTTCTTCGCGTGCTTCTTATGTATTAAATTTGATTCATTTTGCAACTAACTATGAATGCAGTCAGCTTTGCAGTCTTAAGCTTGATCTTAATTTAATTTTGTGCCAAGACTAAAGCCCTTATTAAACATGTCGTAAGAGTACGCTCGTTTATATCATCTCAAGAAATATTCTCGAAATAATTCAAAATTTCATGATTCTGTACCTCAAAAACTTTGAAAAAAATATCCTATCTTTCAATTTTACCTTTGCTTTTTGAAATAATGATGTATGAAAAATATCAATTTACAATTATATTCTAAAAATTCCGTATTTTTTCACATGAAAAAATCTTACATTATCTCAAAAGTTTTATTTATTTGATAACTTTTTTATATATATTTTTTTATATATATTTTTATTCTATAATTCTTCTTTCTATAAATTTTATCTCTTTTGGTCCTCTAAATGGTCCCTTCATCAAACTTGTTAATAAATGCAATAAACATTGATCTATTTGTTAACAGACAGAGTAATTCTATTTGATAACAGAATTTTCATGTAAATTCTCATTTTTAAAACTACAATTCATTTTTTTACAATATTGATCACAATATCAGAAAGTATTATATTTTTGAAGATGCTCGTCAAATTAACGTTTACAGGTCAAAGAAATTTCTAGGCAAAGTACAAAAATTCAATCTAGAGCTTTATAGCATTTTATTGTCGAATGAACAGTAAGGTCAAACTAATTGTAAGTTAAGAGCAAAAATTATTAAAGTTTGAACTAAAAATAATTAAAATTATACAATGTTTTAAACATACATATAATCTTTCTGTGTAAAAAGTATAGATTAGATAAGAATATTCAGAAAACAAGTTAATAAAAGTAACAAGGTTTTTAATTAGTATATAATTAGTTTTTAAATATGTAGTACGCGTATGCATATGAAATGATACAGAACAATATTTTGCGAAAGAGTTGTAATATTGAAAATAAAAGCGGTTAATATTGAAAATAAAATCAAAGAGGAAAACAGGAAAATATAAATATTAATTACATGTAATCATATTATTTTATGTATAATTATTTATTATATGTAAAAATGCACATGCATTATATATTCTTTACACGATATGTTGTATAAAAAAAGCTAAAATTTTACTTGCATTTTGAATTGTATTTTTGTACTTTGTACTAATATCATGCACAATATTAGATCTTGTCTCTTTACGTCATAGCTACATGTGGGAGTTTCGGGTTAATTGCTGTATAAACTCTATATTTTGGACAGAGCTAATGTTAAGACTAAGTTATTACAAAGTTAAGACTAAGTTTGGAAGCTAACTAAATCCATTATAATATACTGTCAGTATTCTCTATTTTGCCGGATATAGAATATTATGTCGCGTGATTTCTCGCGAAAAGGGCAAACATTCAATGCGTATCGCGAAATAAAAAAGTAGTTTACGCGCCGCTCGATCTGTACGTGCTTCGCGTAAAGTCATTAACCTGTTTTGAAAAGAAAAGCACGTTTACGTTGTACGTTCGTTTGTTGGAATCGTAAAACTAATTTTACCGTTGATATTTCGTGTTTTAATCGAGCTAGAAACTTCTCTCGAAACAATTACAAACAATCAAGAATTACTTACCATTTATTAGATTGAATGATTATCAAGAATTACTTACCATTTATTAGATTGAATGATTATCAATATTCATTTTTGCGATTGTACAAAATAATATATTTTTTGAAAGTAGATATTTATACGATTACATTTATCTGATTATTATAAATTTTTTATTACGTAAATTGAAATAATTTTTTAAATAAATTGTTTGCAAACTTATTTAACTTATCAAACTTAACTTTATCAAGTTTGATATTTTTTCTCTGATTTTTAGCAGCACATTTTTGAAATAAAATTAATAATATTTAAGGTTTTAAAAATTTTTTGATATTACTTTTCAGCTTTTTGATTTTTTACGTAAAAAAAATCTAAAACCACTCTACATAAAAGAGAGAAAAATCTCGAAAGAATATTTCGAACTAAAAGAGATATGTAAATATTGTATCAATATATTTGATTGATACTCGAGAGATAACTATCGAATGAAAAATTTTCATTTACCAATAAAATTGAGTCACCCAACATTTATTAGTTCATTCTACGTATAGTTTAGAGATCAGCTGGATATTTACGATCTGGATATTTTTCTAACTCTATTTCTTTCGCTGCAATTGTACGTTAGGGAGAGATTTGGCGTGTTGTTGGTGTCAAGTGCGATTTATTTGACTTACCCGAAACCAGCAGACCGAGGGTTAAGATTAGGCACCTCATTTTTTATCTCTCATAGTCGTTTCGGGATGCTGGTCGATTTCTTCCTCGTGTGTGCCGTTGTGTCCGATCTCGATCCTGAAGAACGTCTTCTGCAGGTCGTAGAAAAAAATCGCCCGCGCGAATTTCGCGTACTTTGCACACGGGAATTGCCGGAAAACGAAATCAAGACGAGTTTATCGGATAAATCGACGATTCCCGGTTTTTCTTGCCTCTACGCTCCATGGCATCGTTACGTCCCTATTTTGTAATTGCGAATTTATAGCAAGACGATTGCTCATCGCGACGGCCGTGCCGGTCGTTATTTCCCTCTTTCTACATCGCGTTCAGCCCGCATAGTCCGTTCTCGAGCCCGCTTAATTTGCTAACAGCCTCGCGATCTAGATTCGCGTAATTGAAAAGCACCGGCGGGGCGTGATATACGTGCATCCTTCCGGATCTTTGTCTCTCCCTCATCCCTTTGCGGCCCTCATCTTATCGAATCCCCGATGAAATCGCCCGTTTGATCGTCGCGCTCATCGTGTCATTCGAAATACGAAATCATATCTTCGGATTTCTCTCCCTCTCTCTCGCGATATAAATACAAGACTCGAATCTCAAAATTCACTGTCTCTTACACGCTCTATTTAATTCTGCTGCAATTTTATTCTCGATGCGAAAATCGACATTAGGGAGACAGAAATCAATCCCGAGGAAAAACGAACGTATCGTAAAAGAAGCACGCATCCTTTTTTCCCATCGGGACGACAGGCGTGTCTCCGGCCGGTCTCGACACGCGGCCGATCCCCTCGATAAGGGAACGATCTCGGACGATTATCGGCAGACGCTCCGACGTCGGATCAGCACGAAGGTCACTCGTTGCACGGATATCCGAGCGAAACTGAAGAGAACTGACAGTGCGTGCAACGCGGCTTTTGCGCGGCCCTGCGCTGCCCGGGAGAGACGCCCTGCCATCTATTCTCGCATACGCCCCGCTCTCTCGTCCCCTCGCGAGGGTGCAACGTGCGAGGAGATGAGGGTGATATGCCTGGCGCAAGCGTGTACTCCTCTCCGTTTTACCGTCGTCGTTGCGCACGCTGCCTCTCCCTCTCCCTCCCTCTCTCTCTCTCTCTCTCTCTCTCTCTCTCTCTCTCGCTCTCCTCCCCCGCGTACAGCATCCCTAGCCGAGAATCCGGGAATCGAATACCGTCCCGAGATACCACGGCGTCGATTAAACTTGGCAGTGGATTCTATATAAGATTCATCTCTGTTTTTTTCCCGCCCATGTACCCGCTGCTTCTTGTCGGATTTAAGATGTTGTTTTTCCGCCAAATTAAAATTTCTTAACAGTTATGAAAGTCGCATGTATTTGCATGCATTTCGTTGATTTGTCGTCGAAAATGTATTTTATTTTTTAAATAGCGAAGAAGCGACTGAATAGGTGCAAGCTTGAACAATATAAATATTATGTGTTACACGATAAAATTTTTTGTAGCTTTTTATATTGATCGGCACAGTGGTGTTTTTATATTTCTAGAACGCATAGTGTTGAAAAATTTTTATCGTATTTTGAAGCTCTATATACGCGCGCTTTTTTCTCTTTTTCTTTGGGTATATTCATTGTGTCAATTAATCTTAAATTTATTTTGTTAACTGATAACTTGTCATTTTTGGCTTTGTAATAAATAACCAAAATAAATATCCATTGTTGCAATTTATAGAAAATGTACAAATATTTCTTCGACTTTAAAGAGATAATAATAATTTCACATACGTCGTATATCGTATACTTGATATACGATATTCGTATTTTCCCTATTCTATATGAAATGTTAACAATATGTCAATAATTTGCTATCATATAGATGTAAGAACATATGAATTAAAACAAAGAGGTATTTATATTTGTTATATTTTCCTTAAATCATACATGAATAAAAAAACGAATGACTGACTGACTTTACTACTTTCGTGACGACAAAAAAAATTCGATGCACTACTTGGCCATACGTTCGTTTTACTTTCATTTTTGTCAAATGGCTTATATTTTTGCTCATTCAAATTTCTCATATTGTTTACGACGCATTTCTTTTACTTCAATCATCATATAATAATATTCCATCCTGATCAATATGTAATTAATATGTAAATATCTGTTTAATTCTTTTCTCGCTGACAATTGATTACATTTATATTATATTTATGATTTTCGCTGCTTTTGTATTGTTGTAAAATTTGAAAATAAACAATAATAAATAATTATTGCACGATAATAAATAACAAATAATTAATATTAATTAATAATTTATAATAATTTATAATTAATAATATTAAACTAATAAATTTAAAAAATTTGTCACAGTTACTTTTAACACATACAAGTTTAATGAAAAAGTTAATAAATCGTGAAAAGTTAATAAATTTAATTGCACTAGAAGTTTATGTGAAATTGTAAGAAAAGAAGAAGCGTAAGAATTTTTTTCGCGTCAGAGAAACTGTGATTGATTGACTAATAATGCATTTACTGCTTTTTTCGCCATTATGCATTTTTTTATAACAGATATAAAGCAACGATGTTTAAGAATTGGAGTGCAGAATGTACAATGAATTTAAAGTAGAGAACAAAGGAATAGATTATAGTTTTACAATTTTTGTTCTAAAACAAACGTGAATGTAAAACGAAGAACAAAGGAATAGATTAGTTATAGTTCTGAAACTTTTGTTCTAAAATAAACGTACACATTTTTTTTTAATTAAAAAACGTGAAACGCGGTGAATTTATATGACTATTTGAAAATGTATACTTTTTTAACTTTTTTTTGTTTATCGGTAACACATTAATATATTACTATAATCGAATCCATGAGTTAAAAAAATTTGTTACAAATCAATCTTTGACATAATTTTTCCAATTGATTGTATATAAAAGATTGGATATTTATAGAATGAGCATAATAAATAGAGTATAACTAATTAATTATATTATTGAAATTTCATCAGTTAATGATAAACTGAAAATTATACATATTACGTATTTCTAAATAATATATAGAAAATTGGGATTATACTAATCTAACATTTAAAATATATTAGCGTCAAATTTTTCTTTAACACAACTTTAAATGTCTTGTAACGTTTGTTATACGAGTTTGACTGAGAACAATCAATAATGTATATTTTTTTTCGTGACAAATAATTATATATACATTGTTCATTAAATTCACACATTTAGTCATTATCAATATTTTACCTGCCATAAATGTTTGAAGAGTAAGGAATGCTTGAACAAGCAACACAAACAAACATATAGAGGAAAATAGAATTCTTCAATAAGAATGAAAATGGATCTCCATGCACTGATTCGTTCGTTTAAACTGAAGCACGCCACTCGAACATATCATCGATACATTATCGATAGGCGGTTTAATAGTATTCGAGATCGATTATTCACTGAAGGCAATAACAGTTTGGAGCTCATAGAGGTTAGGTGTAACTAAAATTCTCTCTCTCTCTTTCTGTAAAGTTTGTTCTAATTATAATGGAATCTAATTATAATGGATATCTAATTATATTGGAACAGAATATCAAGTCGTTTGTGAATAACAGTTAAACATATCAATTAGTTACTTATAGAAGAATTACTTGGGAACAGGAGATAACATCAATCATAACAATGTAAGTTAAGATCTATTTTGAATCAGAAAAATTGGAAAAAAAATACTTTGCTAAATTATATTAGCTTTTGTGTTTTTCGAAGATGGATGATCAAGCGTGTCCACGATGCAAAACCACCAAATATCGAAATCCATCATTAAAAATGATGGTGAATGTTTGTGGTCATACATTATGTGAGAGTTGTGTGGATCTACTCTTTTTAAAAGGTTCTGATTTACTACTTTTATTATTCCCAATGTAATACAAAAAAATATTGCACATTTTTTTCAATAATATTTATAATTATATTATTTAGGTTCCGGAGCTTGTCCAGAATGTAAAATTCCATTGAGAAGAACAAACTTCCGAGTTCAAATGTTTGAAGATTCAATGGTTGAAAAGGAGGTGAATATAAGGAAACGTATTCTGCGAGATTTTAACAAAAGAGAAGAAGACTTTTCTTCATTGAGGGAATATAATGATTACTTAGAGGAAATTGAAACTATAATATACAATTTGGCAAATAATATTGATGTAGCCGAAACAAATAAAAAGATAGAGCTGTATAAAAAGGATAACAAGGAACAAATAGCAAAGAGTAAGTCTAAAATTGCCAGAAGCGAGTATGAATTAGACGAGATGATAGAATTAGAAAAGCAAAAGGAAGAAGAAAAGAGGAAAGAACTTGTGAAAGAAGAGATAGAAGCAAAGAAGAGAAAGATTCGTGACAAAGCAGCTCTGATAGATGAACTATCGTTCTCTGATTCAAATGCTACAAGTATCATTGAGTCTTTCACTTCGGTGATACAAAAGAAAGAGGCAAAAGTTCCCGTTAAAGCTACTCAATTTAGTACAGGAATTAAATTTGGTAATCAAGGAAATCAAAGCTATTTATCAGTGCCAAAGATAGAAGAGGGTCCTCTCTATTCTTATACACCCATTCGACAACAAATAGAAGGTCCATCACCACCTGGTTGGCGAGAAATTCAAGCTCGTGGATATGTTTCACACGTACGTAATGAATGCGATCGAGACAGAGCAGGAGGGTTTAAGGCACATGTTGCATGTCTACGAGCATTGCAGGAAGCAATGGCTGGCTTATACCATAATCCTTCACAACGACAGGCAGAGTTTGCAACTGTATGACTACATAAATTATTTTCAAACATTGAATATGATAATATTTTTGGTTCTGTTTTGATTATTTGATAAACACTAATTTAATAAGACATTAATTTAAGAATTATTTCTGTATGTGACGTGTAATATCAATTCAGAAGTGACTATGTGTGCCTTGAACATAAATTGTTTTGTGCATATGTGTGTGTATATATATATATATATATATATATATATATATATATATATATATATACATATATATAGACGATTATGTAGATTACCAAAGCATTTTTACAATCAGAGGTAAATTTCCATTTATTAAACGTATATCTAAAATAATATTAATTTTACTAGAACATTAAGTTAGAAATGTCACCAAGTATATATTATTAAACTTAAAATAATGTCGGTTCCTTTGTATAACTAAAAGGAGAATGGAAATGTTTCTTAATAACAATGTATTATATTGTTTAGTAGTAATAATATAAGACATAAAATTAACAATAATAATCTCAAAAGATTAGATGAACGTGTATTTATTGAATAAACAAAATAAGGAGATGATTCATGTGCATATGTATGTATGTGTGGGTTGTGTATGTGTATATATATATATATATATATATATATATATATATATATATATATATATATATCTTTAAGTATATATTAAGACAATTTATTTACGATTATTTATTTATCTTTGTTACGATTACTTATATATAAATATAAAATTTATATAAATGTAAAATATACCTTTTTCATTGAATCTAGTGTATTATACATTTTCTTAATTTTTACCAACCGTTGCTTATATAAAAATTGCTCTAGTAGATTTGCAGATGGCAGCGTTGCCTTATTTGTAGTGATTAATGTGTCAAATATCAAATGTAAAGTATTTTTTGTAATAGTCGATTTATACCGAAAAATTTAGCATAATCAATAAATACCGCCTCCACTAAAAAAATAAAATATATAACTGCCATTAATTAACATTACAATTTATATATTATATTATAATTATATACAATTTATATATGTATAATTTATATAATCGATAATACAATACACAAGTGTGCATATTTACATACATGTACAAAATGAAATTTACACGATTAGCATATACACGATTAGCGTAGATGTCCTTTTTTAGATATATAAAGCAAGTTTTAAATTGCATAAAACTTTACGAAATATGATCTTTATTTGCACCGTTTTTAATACTCAAAATATATGCATCTATATATATGTATTTTATTTTTTAATTTATATTCCCTTTTTGCGAAAATGGATTAAATTGCAAACTAGCTGAAGAATCGTTTAGAAGATTATTTGTAGTTTTTTATTAGATAATATTAATTAATAATTAATATGAGATATTTCTATTCTACTGTTCTATTCTACTGTGTAAAATAGAAAATCTTAATGTTTTTAATGTCCTTTGGGAATTTGTGTTCCAGACAAATTAAGAAATGTGTAATTATTGATTAAAAGTAGCTTTTACTGCGTTTCGTAAAAAAATATTGCAGTACAATATTTACAATTTTACCGAAGTAATAAATGTGCTTCAACTACTATTATTTGGTAATATAACATGTACACATGCATATCAAGTTATAAATTGTATTTGATTAAAATTAAATCAACTTAAAAACATTTTTGAAAAATTTGATAAAATTGCAATTCGACGTGATGATTTGATTGTGTTTAATATAATTTTTTAACTGCTTGGACACGAGAAATGTTACTATGTTTACATATTTATATAAAAAAAGCGAAATGCATTGAAAGAAAAACTAGTTTTGGATAAACACACATATCGGTATCGATTAAACAAACTCTTCGTGACTGACAGAACAAAGTAACGAAATAATTGCTCTCTTTCAAAGGAACATGTATTTTCTATTTCCATTATCTTAATGAAAAAATGTAATTTAAATTCTTTAGTGTATTTTTCGGGTACTATTCGAATAACAAAATACACGCAATATATGTTTTCAACGCAATTTTGGATAAAAACTATAATATTAAAAATTAAAAAGAATTACAATATGAAAACTTATATTTTTTTAGTTTTTATGTTTTCAGAAATACTAATTACTTTCTATATTGTTTTATTTAACTTATATGTTTATATATGGAAATTTTTTTAAATCAAATTTTCATTTATAAAGAATTTTTATGGACGATATAGAGAGTTAAATATTTGAGATTATTCGAGCCTTTTCCATCGTTTCAACATATTTACACGGTATATTTGATTTTGATAAATAAATGAAAACTGTAATTGCTATAATATTTTTTTGCCAAGAAATTATATTTTTCCACAGACAAATCAAAAAATAATTAGCTCATGACTAAAATCTCTTTAAATAATTATGACAGGAATTCCTTCAAAAAAAATTACGAATTATTCAACTGTTTGTTATCTCGAAATAAACGTTAATCGCTTAAATTATAAATCTTCATTTGTCAATTATGCAGGAATAAGAATTTCAAAGATATTGACATTATTTCTAATTTTTGCCGATAAATATAATTTCCACGACTACCTCAATAATACCTCATTTTATTAAGATCGACAGTTTTCATTATATTAATATAAATATTTAAAAAAAATACGAGTATGTTCTCTCTCAATGTCTCGTACTTTGAAATCATCTCGGTCCAGCGACAAAGGGTACGTCACGGTGCGGCACGATGGAAAACCGCGACCCCTTACTTTGCGTACAAGTCGCGGAGAGAGACAAGTACGGAGTCGGGGGAACGAATCGCGAGCGAGCGAACGTACGCGCTCGGGACCGGCTACGGGATGCTGCGCCGAGATGCTTAATTAGCGCGAGTGGAGCCTCGGAGGCTCTTGGGCGACGCGACCAATCGGCGAGCCGGGTACGAGCGACGACTCCGCCCATTGCGAGAGCCCCGTTGCCCTTTTCCTCGTGACTGCCGACCACACAGTCCGTACGCGAACGTTCACGGAGCGTCATCTCGTCCGTGCGATCACCGATCTCCGTCATCTCGCGCGAATTTTCCGCGACGCCAAGTTTCGCCCGGGTATCAGATTCCCTGTATCTGCCTCTCATCTCGCTCGAGAGATCGGCCGCGTTCGCGAATCGAAGGAAAAAAGAGAACCCGAGACGAGCGTGAGAACCGGCGAGCGATTTACCGTTGACAGGCCCGTCCGCGTGTCGATTGACTTACGTCCGGGCGCTTCGCATCGCGTGGTTACTGGAAACATGTAAGACGAGACGAAGGGAGAACGGAGTTCGGGAGAACGAATCTTTCGACCGAACGCGGCGAGGACATCGCGAGACGAGGAACCCGAGAAAGGGAGAACGTGAGTCCGCGCTCCGGGCGCGCGCGTTTCAGAGAGATCGCTCGATCCCGCGTCAATCTTGTCATCATCGTTGATCGTCGGCCGACGGCCCGCATCTTGGATTCGGACGCACACCCAAGTCCGATACCCGTCGATTCCGTTCGCGTTCGCGAAGAACGAGATGCGAGACGCGGACCATCGTCGGCGGCGCGTGTAAGAATGCGAGGCTAAAAGGACCGGTACGACCAGAACGACGAGCGCCACGTAGCCTCCTCTCCTTCGCGCTTCCACAAGGAAGATCTCGACCTCGGGGATTCGGCGGTAGTCGGTTATAAGAGAGTCCGCACCGGATTTGCCGCACGCAACGCACGCTCGTCATGTCAACGAGCTACCTGCTCGTGTCTTTGCTGATCGTCGCGTGGCAAAGCGGCGCGCAAGCCAACTGGTGGTGAGTGTTTTTATTTTGTACATCACTTATAATCAATGTCAAACGTTCAAATGTGACTTTGTTATAAAGATATCGAACAATTTCACCTCGCGATGATAACGGCCGTTAAATATATTAATCGTAAAGCACGAAAACTTTCTTAATTATTCTTTAGATCTTTTGTTAGATTTTTAGTGGTTTTTTGGGGATATTTTAAATTGTTATTGATGATGCAATATTTTCATTGTATTAGAATCTAACTAAATTTGCTACCGCCTACTTTCTGTTAAACGTACATTACACATAAATGATAACGGCCGTTAAATATATTAATCGTAAAGCACGAAAACTTTCTTAATTATTCCAGATTTCTTTAGATCTTTTGTTAGATTTTTAGTAGTTTTTTGGGGATATTTTAAATTGTTATTGATGCAATATTTTCATTGTATTAGAATCTATAACTAAATTTGCTACCGCCTACTTTCTATTAAACGTACATTACACATAAATTCCTATATATTCTTACATCTTCAATCCTTTCACTGCCGGAGCGTCTACCGAGGCCTTCGGTTTCTGGGAAAAAGTCGAGGGCACCGATAGAACGCTTTACTCGCGTAGCCACAGTCTTTATAAGCTTGTCTTTATAAGCTTCAAATAATAATATCCAGACACATATTTATTACTCTAAACATGCATTACAATGGAAATAAAAAAAAGTACAATTTTAAAACTTTAATTACTCAGCAGTGCAAGATTTAACACATGTGCGTGAGAAAAAATAATAAAAGCTAAAATTATATTATCAAAAAATCAGCAATTTTAATCATAATCTCCAAAATTTGTCCTGCAATCGTTTCATCTTATATCGATCTGAAAACTGAATTAAGGATAATTAAGGATAAAAATTATCTGTCGCGGTACCGAGCAAAAGCACTATATATAATTAGAAAGACAAGTAAAAAAATTAATACACGTTTTCCACGAGCTCTAAAAGATATCCTTGCCTTCTTGAAATTAAAAAGGAAAGTTTAGTCAGAGAATTATAATATCATTAGCGTGCGCATTCAGGGAATATATTCTCTTACAAGTATCGTCTCTATCTACGGTAATTTCCTCCGGGAGACGAAGGTACTCGTATATATAAACTTGTCTAATTCTCTCTCTTTCTCTCTTTTATACACACGTATACACACATTACCCGAGCACTTTGCTGTTCGCAAGAACTGGCCAAACAAATGCGCGCTTCCCGCTACAGACAAATATCCTACGCGAGCTCTCGACAGTCGATTATTTTTATTGACGCGATGGTCGCTTTGCAGCGCTCGCATAACGGCGTTCGCGTTGCGATACATCGCGGATGCATCTCACGCGAGGAGAGAAACCGTCCACGGGGAATACGATGCTGGCTTTCTTCGCGATTATTCGAGCGAAAGCATCCCTCGAGATACCCGCGCGGAGGATCCAAAGTGGTACATAAGTAGCGAGTTATTACGCGAGTTATGTTAAACGCTCAAACACCGGGTTCAAGGACACGTATCGGACGCTGCAATCGTCTTGTAATCTCGGAATATTTACTTTTACCCCTCAATTGAGGTTCTTTCACGAGGAAAATGAGACGGCGGTTTTGTTCTCTTCTGTTTGGAGAAACAGTTTCAATGAGAAACACAATGTGTAATTATTACACTGATCTCTAGGATCAATATTCATTTAATAGTAAATTAAAATGGATCGCGTAAAATCAATAATAATTTTTTACCTTTCCACAGACACTTGAATCACTTGAGTTCACTCGGACCTCATCGTTTCGCGCCGATAAAAAATTACGTGATCGCAATTTGATTAAAAGTTTTTTTGTCACATCAAGTGTAAGATTTACCTAAACACGTTATTCAATATATCAACGTGAGGTGAGAATTCATTTTTCTACAATAATTGCATCTCTTCGATTTCAATTTCACTCGAGCTGCCACAATAATATCGCCTATTATCGCCCTCGAGAAATCATTCTCGCCGTTCTTTAATAATAAAAAAAATTGAAACGATCAAACATTAATTATCAAGCATTAATTATACGCATTAATTAAGATGACACGGTCGAGATAAGATCGCGGTGAAAAACGGTTACGGTTTCGGCGTAAATTTGAAGAATGTCCATCGACGCGCCGACCGGCTCGTCGATAGTCACGAATCCATAATAGGCGAATAATCCCCTTCGATCGGACGAGCCGCCGCGAGCGAGATCGGAGAGAAGCCCTGGCGTACGTAATGGCTAGGTGAGCGTATATCTCGTCACGATACAGGTAGCGACAATGTTCCCTCGACGATCTTAAACGAGAGGAAGGAGAGCGTCGATCTCTTTTGCGGTCGAGCGTGATGTTTCTCTGTCCCCAGATATTTCATTTCCGACAAACCGAGCCTTCCTCCTCTCCCCCCTCCCCGCCTGGGGGCGATTAATCGACGCGCGTAGCGAATCTTCCGATTAGGTTCGCCGATATTAGAAAGTATCGATTTTTTATTTTCGTCTTCGACATCGAGAAGACTATAGTGATATATTCAAATTTAAAGGGAACAAACGAATATATTATATATATCGATATTTCCTTATTTTGTTTTTACCTTCTTTTATTTTTACATTTATATATATTTTTTATTCCACTCTCTAAAAGTGAATCAGTGTATAATCACCGAAAACTAGTAAATAGTCACTGATTACAGCAGTTATAAGTATAACACTGTAAATCAGTGATATTTTATTGAAAGAATATTTCTTTCGTTATTGTCAGTAATATTAAACTATAATTCATCTCTCTATCTATTTCATATAAAATTAAAAATTTTATTTATATTTACTAAATATTTATTATATTAAAAATTTTATTTTATTTATATTACACACATATTGAACTTATTATTTTAAATAGATAACGAACAAATAATTTTTATTAAGTCGCCAGACATTTATTTTTCCGACTTATAAAGATCGATTTAATATCTGAAGCCTCTCTATTGAGATTGTATCAGAAATTAAATCGAAGTAATACTTTTAATTTTAAATGTCGCTCTTTGCGAACTTCATATAATTCTTATAACTAAAATTAAATACGAGAGAGATAGCGATTGTAAATAAACGAACTAGCGATTACTGATTTTACAGTGAATTTTATTTTAACTGACGATATAATCAGTGAGATATAAGATAAAATAACAAAAAAATAAGCGTTTCCACTGAAGATCAGTAAAATACTCACTGATTCTCAGTGAAATCTTATTTTACTGTTTAAATTAATGATATTTTCACTGATTCACTTTTAAAGAGCATATTTTATTTTCTCTTTTTTATTTTTTATCCCATTCTTTTTTTTTTCAATAAAAAACACGCCACTCTCTTGGCGTGATTGCATGATTAGTTAGCTATCGATGAGCGTTATATGATCTTATCCACCCAAAGAATATCGGGTAACGTCTTATCTATCGACTATCATTAAAGAGTAGCCTATCGACTAAATTGAAGAATACCTCTAGAGAGCCGGTTAATCTTTATCCGATCGTGAGAGCTAATGGCGCGTATGGATATGCCGCGGGATGTACATCGATGAGTTTAATCAATTCAAATTATCGTTATTGATGGCTCAGGCGTCGCGATTACAGTGCTATTATCTATCCATCGCGCAAAATATTATACCGTGGAATGAATAGTATAATATCGGCTGCTTCTTCCCGCGTATTTGCGTTATCGTTTTTTTTTATCGGCGTTTGTCTTCTTTGCTTTCCTCCAAACAGTTATCAAAGCGTACGCTAACGCGGTTGATTTCACGTCATCATTATGAATGTCCATTGTGGACGTGTCTCGAAGCGAGTCATGAATTTTCGAAGCTTTCGATTCTCGCTACGGGAATGCGAGCCCCTCGTCGTACGCCGCATTAATTCAGGGGTGCCTCGAGCACAACTATCCCCGGTTTTAATGAGGTTTAACGAGGGCTTCTTTTCTTATTTTCAGCTTTTGTTTACCATCTGGAGCGACTCTCGATTTATCGATCTCTCGCGCATTTTTGCCTCCGCGTCCATAGAATCTAACGTGCTTCGGAATTAGACGCGCACCCTCGAGTTGCTCACCAAGTTTATCCGAAGGGAGAAATGGGACAATTTATTGGTCCCCCCCCCTCTCTCTCTCTCTTTTTTTCCATGCAAATCTTTTGATAAAAATCTAGGTATGTATTGTTTATGACATTTTGAATCCGAGTGTAATATCTTCCGCTTAAATTTCATGTGATAAATTCTACGTATCGAGTAATTATGCTCAACAAGTTCAATCATAATACAACGTACGCAGTAGAATATAAGAAAATTAAATTTCACGACATCTACAGAAAATGATGCAAAAGTTAAAATATTCAAAAAGTATAAAAATTAATTATAAATATCAGATTATAAATATATTGAAATTTTAATGAGCCGTTTAGTAATTAGCAAAATAATGCTATAAAACTATTAAAGTACTGTACACATATATAATAAAATTGTAAGAGACATACAAAGTCTTGATAAATTACACAGTTAATCGAATAGTACATTTTGCCAAAAGCTAATTGGCAAATGAAGAGATAAAAATTTCCTCGGGCGATATAACTCTAGATGCCGTGACGGTACCTGTCATTAGGTAGTAATTTGATAAAAACGACCTCCTGCCGTTCCTCGACGACGACCGGTCTACGACCTGTTCGGTTCTCGATGCAGCTCGACAAAGACGACGTCGCTGTCTTTTGAGACGTCACGATCTCCATAAAGAAACAGAAAGGACGCAGCCATAAACCAACACGCGGAGAGATACGGAGAGAGAGAGGGTGAAAGAGCCCCGGCTTTCGTCGAGAGAGGCGAGAGACGAAAAAGGGGAGAGGACCGCGCACAGCCGCCGGGGCAGATTTAATAAAAGCATCTTTATTGCCAAACGCGAATCTCCGGTCGATGGTGGTTGTATAGTTGCACACGCGCGCATCGCCTTTACGACGAGCGATTAAAATTGG